ACATAGCTATTGGGCACTTGAAATGTGGCTAGTGCAACTGAAGAGCTGAATTTAATCATTTTAATTAATTTAACCTTAAATTTAAATATCCATATGAGGCTAGTGGCTATGGGATTGGATAGCATGGGTATAGCAGATAGTAGATATTTATTGAGGGTATGTGTGTGTGTGTGTGTGTGTGTGGTACTGGGGATTGACGCTGGAGCACATGCTAAAAGCAAGCTCTCTACCACTGAGCTATATCCATAGCCCCTTATTAAGTATTTTAAGATAGAGAATGAGAGAGGAGGCTGTAGGTGTGGCTCACACAGCAGAGCACCTGCTTTACAAGCATGAAGCCCTGAGTTCAAACCCCAGTACCACCAAAGTAGAAAAAGAAAAGAAAGAGGAAGACAGTCGTGGAAGGACAAGATAGGATGCTATGGGGACACGCAACATTATTTCATATATGCTCCTCCAGCCCCTCACCTTTCACCTCTTCAGCCTAACACTACTGGTGCCTCCAATTCCATGTACAGGATCTTAGTTCTTGGCTCTTTATTGGCTGCATTGGCTGTTCTCTTCTGAACTTGCCCAGCTAGATGACTCTCTTGTGAAGTGAATTGACCCTAAAAACTGACCTCTGGAGAAGCAATCTGGGCTCATCTGTTTTGATCTGGCCCTCGTAGAGGGGCCTGTTTCCTTGGGGGCCTGGACTTCATCACATGGGACCCACATGGTCTGAGTTTGTCAGCACTGGCAAGCTGTCAGACCCTCTTAAAGGCTGAAGCTGGTTGTGCTGTGAAAATGTCACAGGAGAAAAATAAGCCACAGCATTGGTGGTCATATTGCAACTCCTGGAATCTGTACAAACCACAGATGACTTCTAGCCCCAACACCAGAGACTCTGGATCAGGGTCTGAGAAGTAAGGAAGAATGGGCACAGGGCTCTGTAGGCAGACAGAAAAGGCTGGGTCTGCTGCTGAGAAGTAGAGGCTGGGAAAGATGACTCTTTCTTAAACACTTTCCAAAATGTTCACTAAAAGCAGACTTAAGGGCTAGAGATATAGGTCAGCAGTAGAATGCTTGCCTATCATGCGCTAGCCCCTAGGTTTGATTCTCCAGTACTGAAAGAAAAAAAGAGAGAGAGAGACCAAATGTCACAAGCAAGTGAAAGGGCAGGTTATAAGGCAGGATGTACACATGACTCCAATTTTATAATAAGTACTCCTAATTAAATCATACAGTAGAGACTAATGGATGCTTTATTGTATTGTGAGGATCTGTAAATGTACTTGTTACAGGTTTTCACACCATGTAAATTGTATGTTCATTGTTCATAAAAAGAAAGTTTGCATTGAGCTCAGTGTCACTACCTGCAATCCAAGGTATTCCAGAGGCTGAGGCAGGAGGAGCATGAATTCAAAACCAGCCTGAAGACAGGCACTGGTTGCTCATGCTTGCAATCCTAGCTACTTGGGAGGGTGAGATTGGGAGGACGAAAGTTCAAGGCCAGCCTGGGCAAATAGTTCACAAGACCCCACCTTCAAGATAACCAGAGCCAAAATGAATTGTAAGTATGGCTCAGGCAGTAGAATGCCTGCATTGAAAGCAAGAAGCCCTGAGTTCAAACCTCAGTCCCACCAAAAACAGAAAAGAAAAAGAAAAAGAAAAAAAAAGCCAACCTGAGCTACATGAAAGATGTTGTTTCCAAAAAAGAATTATTTAAGGGTTTGGGGATGTAGCTCAGTGGTAGAGCACTTGCACAGTATGCCCATTGAGGCCCTAGGTTCAATTCCCAGTCCTGAAAAAAAAAAAAAGATCTTGCTATTCCCTCTGCCTGGATTTGTTTTTTTGGTGGGACTGGGGTTTGAACTCAGGGTTTTGTGCTTACAAAGCAGGGACCCTATCACTTGAGCCACACTGCCAATCCATTCTACTTTGGTTGTTTTGGGGATGCATTCTCATGAACTATTTCCCTGGACTGGCCTTGAACTGTAATCCTCTCCATCTCAATCTCTCAAGTAGTGGCTTACTTTTTTTTCAGACAGGGTCTCGCTCGGGCTTTCCATCCTACCTCAACCTCCTGAATGCCAAGATTTCAGGTGTGAACCACCATGCCAGCTTTCAGCCAAGGGATCACTGAAATAAAAGGGTTTAATGAGCAGTTACAGATGCTTGTCAGAAAAAGAAACAGGTCCTCTGTGAAGTTCCCACAACTACCAGCAGCAGAACCAGGAAACGTTTAAAAATATGTCTGCTGCACCAGAGCCGAGTTTTTTTGTTTTTGTTGTTTTTCAGTGCTGGGGTTTGAACTCAGCTTCTACACTTGCTGAGCCACTCCACCAGTCCTTTTTATGTGGTGGGTTTTTTCAAGATAGGGTCTCATGAACTGTTTGCCTGGCCTGACTTCAAACCACAGTCCTCCTGATCTCTGCTTCCTGAGTAGCTAGAAGTACAGGCATGAGCCACCGGTGCCCAGCAAGAAGTTTTTTTTTTTTTTAATATTGAAAATCTGGGAAAGGAAGATGTAAGTTGTTTACATCGAACCTACATTGGCTGCAGATAAGACATGTGGGAGTATGTTCAGGAATACAGAAGTCTTTTGTTCTTGGCCTTTAGTTTGTTACCTGATTAACTGCCCCCATTTCTTCTCCTGCCTATCCTCTGACCCTTGTGATTACATTTAGGATATCTCAGAAATTTTCTCTTATCATTATGTTCGAATTTTTTCATAACTGTTATCACTACTGATACTACATCTCCATTTCTTTTATTTGTCCATGGAACTAACTTTGTCCTTGACTATTGTATCTCCAGTGTCTTAAAAAAGACCAGGCATATAGGTGGGTGCCCAATAAATCTGTGGAATGATTAAAATGTAACAAAGGTATCCATTCTTCTCTGTCCCCAGCTTAGAGTGTTCTGCTTTTACAGCCTTAAAGTTTTAAGTACAGCCCTCTCCACACCTACCAAGGCTCCAGAAGTCCTTGTGGACCCATAGAAAGAAACACATTTGGTATAGTCAAAAGACCAAATTACAACAAATTTTGTTAGATGGTCTAATTGGCTTTTATTAACAAGTCTAGAATTGGGCAATGTCTCATTCTATAAAATAGACAGCTGAGCAGAGGAGGCTGGCTTTGTAGGTTGACAAGGACTAGAAGCATAGGTAAAGTCAATTCAAAGTTACTTTCCCTATTGGGTCAAAATGGAGTGTTTTTCTTTATCATACCAGGTAAATCTAACCTGTTTGGGACAATAACCTCTCTCTTTCTCTTTCTCTTCCCTCCTTCTGGGAATGTCAGATAAGCAACTTTGTGACAACTTAGTTTCACTTTGCTAATGTGGAACTTTTAGCATAAGCATGAGGTGACTCCATTTTGGTTTGGTCTGGTCTGTTGGGGCCTAGTACGGGAGCGTAGTCCAAAACTGTGTCTTCCCATAAATACATAAATTTCCATACATATGTCACATATGTATACATACATATGTGACAATGACAACAACAGAAGTCTTACTATGAGCACATCCTCTCTCTTCCTTGCTTTCTTCCTTGACTTGATATTGCATACCTAATAAAGGGTTATCACTGGCCCGGGACCTCGGGGTTGAGGGGCCTGAGTCCCCATGAATCTCAGGACGTAGGGTTTCTCTTGTGGATTTTACTTCCACCTGTATCCAGGTTTGATGAACTCAGAAAACTCTCCACCATCCAAAGCCTGGGCACTTCTGCCTTTGGCTGAGTTAACTCTGCTCAGCTCTGCCCAGTCCTCCTAAGGCTGAGTGAGGGCTTGGGGAACAGTGCCTGTCTCCCATACTCAGACAGGCTGGACTGGATCCCCTGCAGAAGGCTCAGACTGCTATGTCAGATGGGGGCAGGGAGGCCTATAACAACTCAGGTACATCTTAGCAGCTGTTCTTTCTGGTGTGGGATGGTTGAGTTTTCTTCCATGTGCTTACTGGCATATGCATTTTTTCAAAATATATATACCAATTAAAAAAGAAAAACCCAAATAATCTATTTCAGAAAATTTGATGCAAATACTGTAATTTGAGAAAATCAGCCTTCTTACTAGGCTCAATGGGCAGTGTAAGAATTATTCATCACAGTGACCTTATATCAAACTGCTTGGGTTTCAGTCTCATTCCCATCAATTAACAACTGCAACCTTGGCAAGTCACTTAACTTCCATAAGAATGGAGAGCATAATAGCATTTTGTACATACAGTTAGCAGACACACCCCCACTGTGTGTCAGATACTATTTCATGTGCCTTCACTCATTTATATCTTATCCCCATTTTACAGCCAAGAGAGGTTTGAGGCAGAAATCTAACACCAGAGCTAGTTTTTTTTTTTTTTCCTTTTTGGCGGGACTTGGATTTGAACTCAGGGCCTTACACTTGATAGGCAGGCACTCTACCACTTGAGCCACGCTGGCTGCCTTTTTCTGTGTGTTGGGTATTTTCAAGGCAGGGTTTTGAGAACTTTCCCCGGGCTGGCCTTGAGCTGCGATCCTCCTGATTTCTGCCTTCTGAGTAGCTAGGATTACAGCCATGCTTTAAAACAAACAACAACAACAACAACAAAAAACCATGCATTTTGATTAATGTATGTAGTTGTACAAAGGAGTTACACTATGGTGTTTCATACGTGCATATATTGTACACAGATCACATTATCCCTCTCTATTGCACCAGAGCCAGCTTTAAACCACTCTTCTAAAACTGCTTCTCAAAGGGCTTCGGTGAGGACTACAGGACAGAATGCTTGTAAAAGCCCTTACCAAAATCCTGACACTTACTAAGTGCATGATAAAGTTTCTACAGTCACATTCATATTATATGTTTATTTTATTTCAAAAATCGCGCAAACCGTTATTTAATCCAGCAGAAAAATCAAAGATCGCGGAAGCTGGAGGGATGGTGGGGCCCTGGGGCGGGGCCGGGGCGGGGCCAGGGAGGCCACGCCCAGCAGCACCTGCGACAGGTGGAGCGCGCGGCGCTGAGCGCTCAGCCATGTCTGCGGAGGGCGCGGGGCCGGGGCCGGGGCCGGGGCCGGGGTCGGGGTTCGAGCCGGGTCCGCTGTGCCCTGAGCACGGCCAGCCTCTGAGCTGGTTCTGCGGCTCCGATCGGCGACCCGTGTGCGCCGCCTGCACCGGGCTGGGCGGCCGCTGCCGGGGACACCGCATCCGCCGGGCAGAGAAGCGCGCCGAGGAGCTGCGGGTGAGCGGGCTTGGGCCCCGGAAGACGGGGGTGACGGGGGAGGGGACGCGCCGGGCCGGACCGCCAGGGGCCAGGGAGCCTGGGGCCTGGCTTCCCTTGTTGAGCGAGGCGGTTAAAGGTGTGGCCTCTGCAGTCCGGTCCACCCATGTTAAGTCTCACCCCCTCGCGTCCTCTCTGTGAATCGTTCAACTTCGGAGCCTCAGCGTTTTCGTCTGTAGTTGGGGGCAGTAATCACGTGTTTGTTATAGCTGACCTCGGATAAGATCCGGTTCCCTGACACAGAGCTGCCACCCTGACCCCAACGTTTACTGGTGAGGTGACCTAGTTCCTTCCAGGAACTGTACTGTACTTGAAGCTGGTTTCACTGGATAAACGCGGTGGTGAGGGCGGGGGAGGCGGGAGGATGTTCCCTTTCTCCTAAGGTTTCTCCTCACCCCCACTTTCGGCTTGGCTCCAAGCTGGTCACCTTCCTGTCACCCCTCTCCCCAGAGCCTCTGAGAGAGTCAAGTCACCTTGGTGCTTCTCCCTCCTTCCATTCTAGCTGTGAGCCCTTGGGATTTCCTTGCAATTTTATTAAATGGCTTAATTCTCCCAACTCTACCCTGGAGTTCAGCCCTGCCTGTGCACCTGAGGGCTGTCTTGGGTACTTCAGCTACTCAGACTGGACTGTAATAAACACAATACAGGGTGCTGTGGCCAATGGCCTCATACAAACACTTCAGGTTGGTCCTACCTGTCAACAACAGTGATGAGGAAAATGAACTTGGATAACGGGATGTAATGAGCTTTCGTAACGAGTAGGAACTTTGCAAATTCCACTTAAATATCTGTCATTTCATTCCATCCAGACCTAACCTTTGAAGTGTCCACCCAGGGCAGGGCCTGCCCTGCTCCTCTAAGGTCCCTAATACACAGGGGCTACAGGGGGATTTGGTGATCAGTCAAGAAGAACCACCAGTATGCTTCAGTGGTTAAGAGGGAGGACATGACACTAATAGAAACCCTTAAAAAGTAGCCATTAAGGCATGAGTGGTGGAAGGGGTGAAGCCTGGGGGATGGTGGCAGGCCTGGTGCTTATTTTGGAATGTATTCAGTCCCGGGTTCCTGGAACACTGGACTACGCCTGAGACCTTAACAAATTTATCTCTTTTGCCTGGAGGGAGATGAGTCTTAGTCCCTTCCTTTCCTTCAATTTAGAATAGATAGTATCTTTTTTTAAATGCAATGCCAGGGGTCAAACCTCACACATGCTAGGCAAGCTCTCTACCACTGAGATGCAGTGGCCCTTGAGTAGATAATGTCTTTAGCATAGTTCTTTCCCCTGTCCCTCCAGTCAGCAAAGAAATTGTATCCTAAGGCAAGATCATTGCTAAATTAGACAAAAACAGTGCCTGTTCAACTGCTCTCTTACCTTCTGCTCCCGAGAAGTGATGGCTGCTCTATAGCTTTTTAGAAGTGAGACTCGAGTTCTGAATTCAGCCTAGCTCCCTGTCAACAGATGAACAGATAGGAGAAAAGTGATGTACATGTACACAGTGGAGTATTATTCAACCATAAAGAAGAACAAAGTTATATCATCTGCAAGAAAATGGATGGAACTGTAGATCATTATGCTAAGTGAAATAAGCCAGACTCAAAAGGACACGTATCTTGTGTTTTTTCTCATATGTGGAATCTAGAAACAAACAAAGTAGACATGAAATTAGGAGGGAGACTATTAAAGAGGAAGGGTGAGGGAGGGAAGAAGGAAAGATAAGGGAAAGCATTAGAGGGGCAGACATGATCAAAGTATGTTGTATGCATGTTTGAAAAAGTCACAATGAGGCTGGAGGCGTGGCTCAAGTGGTAGAGCACCTGCCTAGCAAGTGCAAAGCCCTGAGTTCAAGCCCCAGTACCACGACAAAAAAAAAAAAACAAACTCACAATGATACCCATTCTGTAAAATTCATATGCACTAATAAAAATAGTTATAAAAAATACAAAACAAAACACTGAGATTCAGTTTCCTCAGTCCCTGAGTGTGTGATGACCACAGCTTTCTTCTTGTCAATTCGATTCTATAACTTTGCATTGGACCTGTGAAGTGTGAAACTAATTCCTACTTGTGGAAGGAAAGATTTCCAACGGCTTCCTGGAAGACACAGCTGAGATGCCTGTGACAGATGGAACTGAGGCAAACTCTTAGGGGAAATAGTGAGGGGCTGCCATTTCTCCAGTTGGTCTCTGGATAACTGGAGAGGAAAAGTAGGGGCCTAGCAATATCTCCCAGGACCAGTCGCTTCTCCATGGGCCTGGCCTTCTCATTTCTGGAACTTCCCTGCCCCCTCAGTTGATGCTAGTACCTCGGGGAGCTGTGGACTGCTGACACTCTTGAGGTCAAGGCAGTGGGTATTCATTTGTTCAGCAAATATGTAGTTGCTGCTCTTTATGTGCAACTCTCTGCTAGGTGGTAGGGCATAGAGATCAGGTCAAAGTCATAGTCCAGTAGTGAGGGGACAAAAGGTAAATGTGTAACATACAGCCAGAGAGTTGTAAGTGCAAAGGGGAAATATAAAGCAGAGTAAAGATGGGGTTGTGTCAGGGAAGGCCTTGCTAAAGAGGTGACATCTGGATGTGAAGGAGCAAGACACACACACAGAAGACTACAGCTGGAGAAAAAGGAGCAACAGGTGCAAAGGCACTGAGGTCAGGATGAATTTGGTGTCTTAAAGGAACAGAAAGAAGGCCAGTGTAGAGAGTGGTAGGAAGAGTCAGTGGAATACAGCTGAGTCATGTCGGGGTTGGGAGGGGGCTGTTAGCTAAGGTAAGAAGCTTGATCTCACTGTGAGTGTATTGGAAAGGCATTGAAGGTTTGGAGCAGGGTGTAGCCTGCTGTGATTTCCTTATAAAAAGTGGCTGTAGCTATTATGGACAGTGATAATGGAAGCCTGGCTTGGAGGCTCTAACAGGCTCCTATGAGAGATGAGGGCCATCTAGGTAGAATAACAGGAGTGGAGGTGACCAGCACTGGCCAGAAGAGAGAGATAGGACTCACTGATGGGTTCGACATGGGGTTAGAGAAACTCCTGGGTTTTTGGTCTGGGTAGCAGATTGATGACTGATGGTGTGTTCCATGAATGGGGATAACATCTGGGAGAGCAGGTGAGAAGCCATCTTCTTCTCAGGAGCAGGTATGGACAGAGACAGAGTGTGCAAGGAAGTGATTATAATGGCAGGTCATGGGAATTTGGGATAAAAAAGAAAGCGAGGCCATAAAAGGGGACAATGGACAGTGAAAGTGGTAAACCTAGTGTATTGGTGGCCACATTTGAACTGTTGGAATGGGGACTTGAGGTTATTGAGCTTAAAGAATGGGACATGGTAGATAGACAGGACTGAAATCCTTGACACGAAGGACTGGTAGATAGTATTGTTTTTATAATGATGAGATCTGAGATATGACCTTGGGAGTGGGTGGCGAAGGTGGGGTGAAAAGGGAAAATCACTGGAGTGAATAAACAGCTCATATGCGTGGATAAAGATGTGAGTGGTGTTTGTGTTGCAGAACAAGATTGTGGACCAGTGTGAGAGGCTGCAGTTACAGAGTGCTGGCATCACCAAGTATGTAGCGGAGGTTCTGCCAGGAAAGAACCAGAAAGCAGTGGTAATTCCTTCCCTTCTGTGCTGTGCCCCCCTTTAGGATAAGACCCTGTCTCAGGACCGTGGGCCATCTAGGGTCCCTTTCAGACCTCACAGACTCATTGTGCTACTAGCAAAGCTGGGTGTGCAGGAAGGATGGTTTCCTACCCACCTGGGCTTCAGTTCCTACCATGGGGACAGGGCAGGCTGTTCCTAGTATCACATTAGGTGCAGATTCTGCTAGATAACAATTTTCCTGGGTATCATGGAGTAGATAACAAAAGAGGTAACATTCTTTTACCCTTTATTTTGTGTTCAGCCCCAGAATTATAAAATTAAGACTTTTTTTTTTTTTTTGGTGGTTCTGGGGTTTGAACTCAGGGTCTTTGCTTGCTATCTCTCTCTTGCTAGACAAGCACACTTCCACTTGAGCAAAATTAAGACTTTTACACAGGGTATTTTTTTGCAGCAATCTTATCAACAGGTGGCCATAGCACCCCTGTTTACAGGGGGGGAAATGGTCTTATGGAGGTTAACTGACTGGCCCAAGACTTCACTGCCTCCTGGCAGAGTCAATTCTGTGACCTGGGTCCTCTGAGTCTCAGGTCTGTGACTCTTCTGCTGCGTGGCATTCAGTGCCATGGCTATGTTTTCACTCTCAAGTATGCCCCTCTGGGCGGAAGCTAGGAATTTGTTTCTGCACATCCTCTCCATCCTTCCTTCACAGCACATGGAACAGGACTGGCACTGCCTTATTAGTCAGGGTTCTTTGAATTGCATGGAGCAGAGACAAGTTGAACTAGCATATATGAAACCAGGGAATTTCCTGGCAGGATACAAGGGTCCCTCAGAGCCTAAAGGAGGAGTCTAGGTAGCTATTCTATGTTCGTCTCTGCTTCAATTTGCACAAAGATATTCTCTCTCCCCCACCCTTTTCTCCTTCCCTCTCACCCCTCCCTCCTCCTTTCCCCCATCCCATCATCATCATCATCACCACTTTCATTTTCTTGCCTTATTGCACTGGCTATGATCTCAATACAATGTTAACTACAGTTGTGGATCCTGCCTTTTAGGGGGAAACTGCCAACATTTTGCCATTTACTTATTTGACAAATTTTTATTAATACCTACCATGTGCCAGGCATAGTTGTCCTATGTAGTAGGCATTCCACAGAGAACAAAACATGGAATTTCCTGTTTTCATAAAGCCTACCTTCTTGTCAGGGAAGAGAGACAATAAAAAATAACATATGTGCTGGGCTAGGGCTCATATGGCAGAGTGCCCCCAGTACCACCAAAAATAAATAAGTAAATAAATGCAATTACTTGTACCGCACTGTACAAAGCAGGTCTTCAGGGATAGGGCCCAGGAAAAGCACTGGCTGTCCCTGACCCTCTGGCATGAAAGAGACAGCTCTTTTCTCACTTGGCTGGCAAGAGTACAAGTACAGGTTCAGGTTCTTTGCACAGCAGATGCCTCTGGGGAGGATTGGTTACCAGGTGGCATCTGCCACAGGTATAGTGATGGACTGAGAGTCAGTAGAATGGGATTCTGGTCCCAGCTTTGCCTTTGACTTGCTCTGTGTATACTACCAACAGGTTTGTTGTTGTTGGCAGTGCTGGGGTTTGAACTCAGACCCTCATGCTTGGTAGGCAGGTGCTCTACCACTGGAGCATTGCCTCCAGCATTTTCTTGCTTCAATTATTTTTCAGGCTAGACAGGCTTGGACCAGCTCCTCCTACTTATGCCTCCCACATAGCTGCAATTACCCCACATGCCACCAAGCTTATTTGTTGAGATAGGGTCTTGCTAACTTTTTGCCTGGGCTGGCCTTGAACCACAATCCTCCAATCTCTGCCTTCTGAGTAGCTGAGATTATAGGCATGTACTACCACATCCAGTTCTCTAAGGGATTTTTGACTGAGTCAGGAAAAAATTCCCAATCAGTAATTTAGACAGTATGAGGGAGGAGAGTACCTATTACACACCAGACATTCTTTTTTTTTTTTTTTTTTCAGTACTGGGGTTTGAACTCAGGGCCTTCACCTTGAGCCACCAGCCCTATTTTTGTGATGGGTTTTTTCAAGATAGGATCTCTCGAACTATTTGCCCAGGCTGGCTTCGAACTGCAATCCTCCCGCTCTCTGCCTCCTGAGTAGCTAGGATTATAGGCATGAGCCACCAGCACCCAGCTCATGCCAGACACTCTTCAACTACATTAACATTACTGACTGAGAATTTAGTTCAAGCCCCGTCTATGACAGATAAAAATCCTGTTAATGGAACCACCTGGAACAGCAGCCTTAGGAAGTAGTGAGATCTCTGTCTTTAGACATGGTGAAATAGCAGGTGGACCACAGTTGGTGTGGGCCCAGTTGATGGGGATGATTTTAGGCCCTTTGCTCTGCAGTTTTCTATGATTCTCTCACCTTGGTCCCTCGGCCTGGGTATTTCCCTCTGTGAAGTTAGCAGGTGATTCTGGTTGGTATCTAGACCTGGCTTAGCTCTTCCTTTCTATCATCATGGCCTCCTGAGATGTCTAGACCTCCAATTTCTTTCCCTAAACCATATTTGGGAAGTCTTAAGGCTGGGATATCAAAGTAAATGGCTAGTCAGGTGCCAGTGACTCACACCTTTAATCCTGGCTGATTAGGAGGATTGCAGTTCAAAGCCAGCCCTAAGCAAATAGTTCATGAGACCCCCCCCCATCTCCAAAATAACCAGAGAGAATGGACTAGAAGTGTAGCTCAAATGGTAGAGTGCCTGCTTTGGGAGCATGAGTTCAAACCCAATCCTTACCCCCCTCTCCCCAAAAGCCCCAACAAAACCAAAGCAAATGGCCTAAGCACTTGGTTATTGCCATTTCTGTACCCCTGACCCTGGTCTCCCTGGGCCCAAATCTTGCTAATGCTGGCTGGAGCTTTGCCTGGACCCAGCTCCTCATTTTCTCCCTTGCCAGAGCATGGCCAGCGCGGCGCGTGAACTGGTCATCCAGCGGTTGAGTGCAGTGCGGAGCCTGTGCGAGAGCGAGGAGCAGCGCTTACTGGAACAGGTGCACGGCGAAGAGGAGCGGGCCCACCAGAGCATCCTGACCCAGCGGGCGCACTGGGCCGAGGCGCTGCGCAAGCTCGACACGATCCGCACCAGCCTGGTGGGCATGCTCACTCACCTGGACGACCTCCAGCTGATTGTAAGTCACGGGAGGCCGAGGGCAGGGACCAGACCGCACTGAGGTTTGGAAACATCGGGATATGTATGATAGGAGGCCGGCGGCAAGGAGAAACTGAAACAGGATGAGTGAGTGATTCTTTGCCTGGCCAAACTTTAGTTCGGTTCTGAAGGTTCCTCCAGGCCCACCTGTGTACTGCCCTGTAAAATTCAGCTTCAGCCCACCCTGCAGAGTCAGTTTAGCCAGAACTTCATTCTCGAGATCTGATCACCCTAGCTATTTGACCAGGTTCCTCATCTCTACCATCCCCCAGCTGCCATCTGATTCCCTGGCCTGACTTCAGCAAGAATCCTGTTAGGTCGGTTTAGGCAGAATCCCCCTTACCCTCCATGTTCCCACTGTCACTTTCCATCCAGGGATCCACCCTGCGCCTGGTCTATAAACTGCCCCCTGCCCAGGCATGCAGAGGCGAACCCAGTCTTTCTCTCACACTTTGAGACCCTCTTGCAGTGCCCCCTATACTGATATTACCGTGCTTTAGCAAATGCTGAATAATTTCCTTCTTTAACATGAGCAGTGGAATAAAATTAGGTGAATTTTTTTTGGCACCCTATAACAATATTCTCTCAATAGTGAATAAATGCTTATCGAGTGCCTGTTACATGCTAAGCACTGTGCTAATAGGGCAGAATTACAGGATACAGCTGGAGTTCTGATATGTGCTGTGATGGAGGAAATCACACAGAGCTAGGGGCCCCACAATTCAGGCCGAGGGATGATCGGGTGAGGCTTCCTGGATGAAGTGACTTAGAAGTGATAAGAGTGTCTATGACTGGGTGCCAGTGGCTCATGCCTATAATCCTGGCTACTTGGGAGGATCAAGGTTTGAGGCCAGGCCAGACAAATTGTTCATGAGACCCTATCGCCAAAATAATCAGAGCAAAATGGACTGGAGGTGTGGCTCCAGTCCAGTGGTTTGTAAGTATGAAGTCCTGAGTTCAAAACCCCAGTCCCACCAAAAAAAGAGTATCCATGTTCAAGGAAGTGGGAAAGTGGTGAGTTAGAAGGGCACGAGGAGAATGCTGTACCTAAGGGAGCAAACAGAGCTCCTAGCAGAAATTACCATGGTCACTCCTGAGCCTTTCAAAGTGTTTTAGAGGTGGGCAACTGCCTGCAGTTTCGAGGGGACAGTGTGCCAAGCAGAGAAAGGAGAATGTGGAACAGCTGAGCTGCCTTTTCAAGTAGGGCAGTTTCCATGACTGCCCTGGATTGTGCCTTCCTTCAGTCACCAGCTTGCAGCACAGAGAACATTCTGTCCCAGGCACTGGGGCAGTCACAGTGGAAGATTCAGAAAGTTGAAGCCATGCAGGAGCTGACAGTCTTGCTGGGGGATGGGTTGGGTAACGGCCCTTCATGAAGTGGCCTTGGGGAGCCCAGGATGCCCGTAGTGGGGATATAGAGTGATTCCTTCTGAGTGTGTTCCTGGAGTGGGGTAGTGTATGACAACAACCCAGGAAGCTGGGTGCTGGGGCTGAGGGAAGGGGTCAGAGCTTTATTCTGGACTCCGCGTCCACATGGAGCCCTCTTGGCAGTTGGGTGTGCGCAAGGCTTGCCCGCCTGCCAGCTTTCTGCTGCCAGCTGACTTTGTTTTCTTTCCTTGCAGCAAAAGGAGCAGGAGATTTTCGAAAGGTGAGTGTGGCCCCGTGATTTGCTTGGGCAGTCACAGGGACCCTCGGGGCTTCCCCAGGACATTGCATTCAGGGTACACAGCTGAGTGACTTCTCTGGAGCTGGGCTCTGTGGACAGGGGACTTCCTGCTCCTGGCCTGGACGACTGCTTTCCACCCACTCAGAAGGGCAGTAAAAAAGCACTTATTAATCAGAGCTTTGCAGTGGGCTTTCTTAAACATCATCCTGCTTCAACCCATGGTCACCCCACCCCAGGGTTTTACCACCCCTACTGACAGATGAGCATGGTGAGACTCAAAGAGGATAAGGGACCTGCTTAAGCCCGGATCTGGGCATGGACCCACCTGACACCTGTCCCTGTGCTGTCCTGCTACCTCATCCCCTTTCTCTGGTGAAAGAATCTTTGAAACTTAAGTTTGTTTTATCACTCAGATATCACATTTTAATTATTCAATGATTAAAAATTTTCACCAGGTCCTACCTGGGTGCTGAGAGGCCGGGGACTGAGGAAGTGCCCAAAAGGATGGATTTAACAGGCAAAATTGTTAGTGCCTCCAGCTGGGGAGTAGTTCAGTGGTAGAGCACTTGCCTAGCATGCTGGATGCTCTGGGTTCCATCTCTAGCACCACAAAAATAATAAAAGTAACCAAAAAACCCTCCTCAAGCCTTCTGTGTGAGATCTCAGAGACGTACTTGGGGAATATGACTCATTCTTACTTATTTTTTACTTAAATTTCAATGGCAATACATGTGAATGAGAGAAAAAGAAATCCATCAATGTAAAACCATTTAAAATTAAAAGTGAGGGCTGGGAGGTTTAGTTGAGTGATAAAGCACTTGCATAGCACGTATGAAACCATTGTTTTGATCCCCAGTCCCACAACAAAAAGGAAAGAAAAGAAGGAAGGGAGGGAGGAAGGAAGGAAGGAAAGGAGGGAAAGAAGGAAGGAAAGGAGGGAAGGAGGGAGGGAGGGAGAAAAAGAAAGAAGGAAGGAAGAAAGAAAGAAGGAAAGAAAAAAAGAATTAAAAGTGAGTCTCCAAGCCCAAGTCAGTGGCTCACGCCTGTAATCCTAGCTACTTAGGAGGCAGACATCAGGAGGATCATGGTTCAAAGCCAGCCCAGACATATAGTTCACGAGACCCTATCTCGAAAATACCCATCACAAAAAAGGGCTGGTGGAGTGGCTCAAGGTGAAGGCCCTGAGTTCAAACCCCAGTACAGAAAAAAAACCAAAAAACAAAAACATGGAGTCTCTGCCAGTCCTATGAGGTGATTGGTTTTAATAGCTGTGAGCTTCTTCTCCCCCCAAAGTGTTTACTCTTCATTGCAGCACAAGTTACTGCTTTTGAATGCTTTAAACATTTTTTTCTTATCATATTATTGTACTGGGGGTACACTGTGACACTTACCAAAGTTTTTGTAGTATACCCCCTCCATCGTTCTCCTTTACCCCCTCCCCCATTCCTGAAATAGTTTCAGCAGGTCTCATTTTTCCACTTCATACATGAGTATATATTTCTACCATGTTCATCCTTCTACACCCTGTCCTTATATCCTCCCTCTCCCACTGGTGCCAGCCCCCAGACAGTAGCTGTGGGGTTTTAGTCTTCTTGTTTAGTCACAGGAGGGCATATGGCTGTTCTTTCTTCCTCTTTTAAATATTTTGAAACATATAGGATTGTTTTATACCCATGTATAAAATGTTTTTCTACCACTTGCAGGCTGTCTGGGAAATCTTTCCCTGCTAGTACAGTTAGATTTACCCCACTTTTTATTTTGAGACAAGGGCTCACTGTGTAGCTCAGGCTGGCCTTGAACTCATAATCCTCCTGCCTCAGCTGAGTTGTGGGATTACAGGTGTATGCTACCATACCCAACTACCTCATTTTTTGAAAGTCTTTGAAATGTTCCACAGTATGGAACCTGATATGCAGGGGTGGGAGCAGAGGGTCTCGTCGTCTGGTATTTTTTAATCTGAAGTTGTTTCTTAACTTTTTTTAAAGACATTTTCAGAGTCTGGAGCAACTTTATAGAATAGCTTTCAATCTGAGTGTCTGATGTTATCTCGTGATTAGATTCAGGTTATCCATTTTGGCAGGAATACCTCATAAGGGATGAGTCCTCAATCCATTGTATCATGGGCACATGATGTCCCTTTGTCCTGTTACTGTTACCCGAAAGCCCGTCCCCTGGCCTCAGTGCCAATTCACAGTGTACAAATAATGAGAGCGGGGTTTTGCAGAAAAGGAAATAAAGTTTGTTATTTGTCAGAAGAAGAGGAGGACAGAGAGAGAGTCAATCTCTCAAAGCTCTGTTGTTCCACTTCTGAGGGACAATGTCCATCATTTAAAGGGGAGTTCAGGGGCTCAGCTTGACTGTGTGACCAGATGCATGTTCAAAATGGCCACTGGCCTTGGTTCTCCAGGGGCCATTTCTCAAGCTGTCTGTCTTAGCTGCCAGGCTTACTGTCTGGTGGGCAGACAGAGGTAAGGGGTGGAGAACTGCTTGGCCTAATTGGAGAGCAAAGGGGTAACTTACTCTTTCTTTTGTAGTCCCAGTGACATTTTCCCCACTGTAGACTTCTTCCTTCCATCTCCATGGAAAAGAGGCAGCACAGTCATCTAGCTGCTCTCTGCCTTTATTAATTCCTGAGCCCAAGCAAAGAGTGGGTGCTCCTCAGCAAAAGCAGCTTTTAAGCCCCTGTTACATTAGCAGGTTATATAAAGTTATATTTCCCTTTTATAATCAATAAGCAAACTGTGAAGAGATATTTTCTGTGTACATATCCTGTTAGTCTTCAAACTTTTACCCACTAGTTTTAGCATGCTAAACTATTCATTTATTTGCTTGTTTGCTGTCTTTGTTTAGTATCAAAAGACTCACAGATTCTTTTTTTAATTTTGTTTTCAAATAGAAGTGCCAATTAATCCATGATAAACAGAACAGCAATATTCTTGTTTTGGATACTGGGGCTTGAACTCAAGGCCTACACCTTGAGCCACTCCACTAGCCCTTTTTTGTGATTTTTTTTTTTTTTTTCCGAGATAGTCTCTTGTGAAGTATTTTTGCCCAGGGCTGGCTTTCCGATCTTTGCCTCCTGGTTAGCTAGGATTACAGGTCTGAGCCACCTGGCAGACTCACAGATGCTTATTTTATTCCATGCATTATAATCTATTACTATCATTACTGATTTTGATGTTTAAATTGTCCCCCACTTGGCCTTCAAACTGGATCTTGTGTCTTTTTGACAAGTCCCCATTTTCTTAGAGCATGTCTTTCTCTCTGGCACAAACAGTATCCCCGGCTCAACCTGGCTTTTTTCCATCCCAGCCCTAGAATCAGCTCTTTCTCCAGGGATCTTGGTTCCTTTCAGTAGGAAGAGGTTTAGAAGGCAAGATCTGGGCACTAAGTGTTACTCATCCAGGCCTTCCCAGGAGACAGCAGTCAGAGCTGCGAGATGTGTGCATGACTTTGTATCACACCTCCCAATTTCAGTCTAACACCACCAGGTTTCCCCTTTGCCTCCCCCATTCTATATTTATATCTTTCTTCTTCTTCAGCGAGAACCCTGACTCCCAGCATCAGCAGTGTATTTATTCATTTGCTCCATCCTGCAGTGACATAAAGTTGACAGAGAATTGCTAAACCCGCAGGCTGAGGTTATGTGCTCTCAAACTGCTGTGTTCCAAAGTCACCAGACCCTCCTAGCTGGAACCTGGCTTGTCTAACACAAGTGCCTCTAGTGCTTTCCACATCCATGGCTGGGCTCAGCTCTGCCTGACAGTGGCAACAGGTCCCTCTATACCAACTGGGCATTCTGATCCCAGCGAGTTCTCACTGGCACATGATGTCCTGCCGTATTCAAGCCCTACTTCACTTCCACCCCTTTGAGTGGTAGCTGGCCTAGGACGGTCTCTGTTGCTTCCCCTGTCCATATTTGGTTCTACTTTGTCCTCGGATGACAGATCAGGAGCCCTGCTAACAGTGAGCTCCTCCTTCCCCACCTGATGGACCAGTGCTTTGACCCTCTCTTGTCCTAACCACAGACAACCTTTGTTACTCTAGCCTGGGCCCAGCATTTTTAAGGCTCTGTTTACCCCCTTCTTCCAGGCCAGGACAGCCTGGCAAAGAACTCCCAGCCATCAGGAGAGAGGGTGCCTACTCGGAACTGTACAGTGACCTCAATGCCACCCTCACAATTAGAGGTGGTGGGCAAGTCCTTTCTGAGAACCCAGGTCAGGAGGCTACAGAGCTCTGCCATCAGTCCCCGCGTCACTCTATCTCTCTATCTCTCTTTGGTATTGCATTTCAGGTGAAGGAAAAATTACATTGAATGGTGTGTCTAGGTGCCATCTGGACTTGTTTACTTTTGCATGGAGTGAGCACTTGAATCTAGGTCTCCTCTGTGGCTGAATGCCCTCTCTGAATGTCCGTTCTGTCCTGTCAGTTGAGGTAACCACTACCTCCCCGGTTATGGCAAAGTTCAAGTGAGTCTGAATAGAATGCAGCAACTTTGCAGCTTTGCAAATGGTAGTCTCCTCAGGCATCTTGTGTTCCCAAATTCCCTCTGAAGGGTTGATGGTCCCTTCCTTTATGACCCCTCAGGGCATTTGCATTTTAAAAGCACAGGCATGGCTGTATCTTCTGACCAAAGCAAGAGCTCTCCTGCAGCAGTAGGTTTATGGATAAGATGTTGACATGAGAACGCCATCACACTGGGATCCAGCTGTCCACGTCCTAGTCCTAGCTCTGCTGCTGGATTATGGAGGGATACTCACCAGTCGCTTTCCTCCCAGAGCATTCTGGCCCCAGCACGCACCCCACTGTAAACTGTCTATCTACTTTGCTGGAGTGAAGGTTCCTGGGAGGCACAAGGGGAATGCCCACCTCCCCTGTGACGTAAGTCCCCTTTGGCAGCCCCATGTGGCTGCCAATCTTGGTATCACCCTAGTAGGAGGAAGATTTTACTTCTGTTCTCTTCCCCTCACCCCATATCCATCCAGATGCATTAGCCAGAACATTCCTGAAAAATGTCTTTTTTTTTTTTTTCTCCCTGCATAAGGACTGAGGAAGCCGAGGGCATTTTGGATCCCCAGGAGTCGGAGAAGCTAAACTTTAACAAGAAGTGCACTTGGAGCCCGCTACTGACCCAACTCTGGGCAACGGCAGTTCTCGGGTCCCTCTCAGGTGAGAAGCTGCCAGAGTCCACACTGCCAGGAGCAACTGGCTAATGTCTGGGTCTGCCTGCCAGAGGAGGGGTTTGCTGCTGGGTCACAAGGGCACCAGTGCTTCTGTAATGGGAGCCTAGGTAACCCAGTTAGTTGCTCAGTAGGCGCAAGGATCTGGACGGGCTGAGCAGCTGGGCCAGGTCCTTCCCGTCTCCACACCAATGTGCTAGGATCTAGGATTAATCCTATCCCTATAAATCACGTCCTCCTTGTACCCTGCTCTTCTGGGGCAGCTCCTTGTGATTTTTTTGGAAGCCTCATGTTTCTCTTAAAGAAAATATAATTGACAACCAATTGGGCCAGGACTGAAACTGCCTCATTTACTCATTTAACAAACCCAAGTCGACTAACTGGCCCTGTGCTGCATGCTGGAGCCTCAGGGGTGAATGTAAGCCATCTCCTACCTCTCACCTAACCTGGGGGTTCCCAAAGCAGGCTTCCCCTGGGCTAGATGGAAACTTCTAAACTTCCAGTGGTAGCTTGTCTTCTCAATTAGGCTCGGTTGAGAAGCCTAATTCTCAACCTTGATTGAACCTTTTCTCAACTTAACACTCCCCCTATACATTATTCTTAAAACTGAGTACAAGCTCGAGCTTGTCTACACTAGCTTCTGGTATCAGATGGCTCCTGATTTATCAGCAGTTCCTTTAGCTAACTCTTGGAAACCACTTATCTCATGCTTCCTAGCTTCAGGAGCTCTGTCCTCCAGATGTCAGCTCTGGAGGCCATACACAGGACCAGCTAGAAAGAAGTATGACCTATGCTAGATACGGGAACAAGACGCTGGATTATCATTTGACCCTGCCACCAAATCCTTATGCATCCTTGGGCAAGTCACTTCTCTCAGCACCTTATTTCTATCACAGCTTATACATGAAGATCTTGAACTAATATCTGTGTTACTCACTGCTACATATTTATTATATGCTAGACTTGATTCTCATGACCACCCTGTGATAAATCCTATTTGGTCTCCATTTTCCCTCAGAGGAAAACTGAGGCTCAGAGAGAGTAAATGGCTTGTCTGGAGACTGAGGTCTCACCACCAGTGAGTAGCAAAGAAACGCTGTGCTACCTGGTGGGACCAGGTTAGGGCTTGGGGGTGGGGGTCCCGATAACGCTGAGCATTCTTTCTGGCAGGCACGGAGGATGTACGTATTGATGAGAGGACTGTCAGCCCCTTACTTCAACTGTCAGAAGATGGGAGAACCCTGACCTTCAATGCCAGGAAGTCCAAGACCTGCGCAGATGGCCCAGAGCGCTTTGACCACTGGCCCAATGCCCTGGCTGCCACTTCCTTCCCGGCCGGGCTCCACGCCTGGATAGTGAACGTCCAGAACAGTTGTGCCTATAAAGTGGGTGTGGCCTCGGGCCAGCTCCCCCGCAAGGGTTCTGGCAGTGACTGCCGCCTGGGTCACAACGCCTTCTCCTGGGTTTTCTCCCGCTATGATCACGAGTTCCATTTCTTGCACAATGGGCAGTACGAGCCCTTGGGGCTGCTGCGGTGCCCGGCCAGGCTGGGCGTGTTGCTGGACATGCAGGCTGGAGAGCTGCTCTTCTTTGAGCCGGCCTCTGGCATGGTGCTCTACACCTTCCACACAGCCTTCCCCGGGCCCCTCTTCCCAGTCTTCGCTGTGACCGACCAGACCATTTCCATCGTCCACTGACATCCGGGCACAGGGAGGCCAGCTGCACCTCCCCACCTCCTGTGTAGATCAGGCTACATTTCTACCTGGTGATCGTCCCCCAAGGAATGTGTGTGATGTTCCCAAGGGAAACAGGGTGGTGCCCCACAGGCAGGTTTAGGAGCAGTGGGGACCTGTTTCAGAGCTGGCACAGTCCCTAAATGCTGGGCACCTGCAGGGAGCCTGCTTCTCCCTGGGTCTTGGTCTCCTAAACCCCCCATGCATATGCCCTCTGAGGGAGTCTCGGTCACCAGCATGGCAGCTGGCACAAAGTGAGTGTGCAATAATTACTTGGTGATGGATGGACAGATGGACAGTGATTGGGTGGGCATGGTAGTTTCTGGGAAGCCCTTCAGCGCCCCACCCTGGGCTTCACGTGGTAGAAGTGGTTCTTTGCAGAGAAGCCTGTGGCTGAAGCTTCTTTATCCCCTTTATTCGGTGCTTCTCCGTCTTTTTCATGACACAGCACATAGAGAAGATATTTTTGTAGTACACAGAAGACTGGCCAGAGCACTATGTCCATGTGTCCAACTCAGAAGACCTGCCCTCAGAAGACCAAGGTATCCCATTGCTAGGAAACCTGACTGCAGTGCAGCTATGGCCATCTGTCACAGGCCCAGAGGCTGAGTGCCAGGCAGCTTGTGCCCACCTGTGATAATGGGGATTCACTTCCCCCTCACTGGGGCTGAAGAGTCCCACCTGATGATGCTCTCCTCCCATAAAGCATTGGGAGACCTGGGCTGAGAGCGTCAAGCCAGAAAGAGCTGAGGGAGGAGGAGGGCTGGCCTTAGGAAGTATGGAAGTTATTAAAGGTTTTAAAAGATGTCTTCTGTGGTCTTTGTTGGTAATTGGCTACATACTGCATGTAGGCCCCAGCCTTCCTTTCTCTCAGGCACAAGCTCAGCTCTGTCTAACAGACAAAGCCTAAAGACTACTGGGAGCAAAGGCAAGGCCCTTGGGTCACCAGAGAGTAGTGGTCTTCATACTTTTTAGGGAGGAGTATGGAGTTTGAACTCAGGACCTTGCGCTTGCTAGGCAACTGCTCTACCACTTGAGCCCCATCCCCAACCATTTTGGTTTTATTTCTCATGTTTTTGCCCAGGCCAGCCTGGACCACAGTCCTCTTACTTATGCCTCCCTGTAGCTGGAACGACAGGCAGGTACCACCACACCCAGCTTATTGGTTGAGATGGGGAGGGGGAGGTCTCACTAACTTTTTGCCCAGGCTGGCCTCCAATTGTGATCCTCTCGATCTCTGCCTCCCAGGTAGTTAGGATTATAGGTGTAAGCCACTTCACCTGGCCTCAGAAATACTGTTTAAAAGCAGACTTAGCAGGGCTGGGAATGTGACTAAGTGGTAGGGCACTTGCCTAGCATTCAAGCATTGAGTCCCATCCCAAGCACTGCAAATAAACAACAAAAAAAACCTAAACAAACCCCTCACATACTTCAGGTTTCTGTCCAAAGAGGATGCAAGCCAGAGAGCCCCCTGCCCTTCTTTGGGAGCTACAAGGGGAGATAACAAAATAAGGCTGGCTGGGGTCAGTGGGCAATGTGTGAAATAGTATAAGTCATTTGGAGCCATGCTGAAATGTGGTCCCAGATGTCTTTGGATAAAAGCTGAAAAAGCCCAATCTTTATGTGACATCTCTTTTTTCATAGAGCTGGGAATGGAGCCAGGGCTTCCCCCATGCAAGGCAAGCACTCTGCTGCTGAATTACATTCTATGTGAGATCTTTTGATAGGTAGGCTCTCAATTTACAACACTGGGCAGATCAAACCCACAGGCCTCCTGTTGGCCATTCTTGGTTGGGATGATCTCTGAGGCCCTGGAAACTCTGGGACTACAGCTTATGAACTGTGTCCTCACTGTCTGACCCTTGGGAATTACTGTTGAGCCACAGTGTCAGGTCCAATGAAGACAGATCCAGATGATTTGGTCAATTTGAAGAGTTCTTGTGTGCCTTTACCTGGGTAGTGTCCCTGCCCAGAAATCTGGGTCAAAGCCAACCTCTACTTGGCACCTGAAGGCCCTATGCCATGCTCCCTTCCAACCACCAACCCAACTCCCACAGCAGCTTCTGTCCATAGCTCATAGGCCTGCTGCAGACATGTCCCCTCATCCCTCTGCCCACCCAAATGCCACCCCAAACCCGACCCCCAGTTCAGGGCTCTCTCCAGAGCCTTCCCTGCTGTTGGCATCAAAACACATACCACATTTGATCCTGTCTGTGCTTTTAACCTGTGGTATCTCCTGTGCCTGACACTGGGCAAGGAACAGAGGTGTTTAATGAATAGCAAGTAGACAGGCAAGGCAGAAATGAAACTTAAAAAACCCAGCCTACTTCTGCAACCTCCAGTTGTTCCCCACCATCCCTGAGCTCAGTTCTCACTCCCTGTGGTTTCCCACTCTGTGCTGGTCCCTACGACTAGGGCGCCCTTTAAGGCTAACACTGATCTGGCAATCTTCTCTCCTCTCCCAGGATGTCTGTTGCCCTACATGTCACATGACAGGGGTTCCCACCTACTTGTAACCTAGTAGACAAGTCAATGGCTTTGGAGTCAGAAGGGTCAAAGTTGGAACCCTGGTTCCTTCCTATTCTGTGACTGCAGGCAGTCTATCCACCCCGCCCCAGGTTTCAGTTTCTTCATTTGTAAAGTAGGGGTCCATCACCTATGCCCACGAGGTAGTTCTGAGGGACATGCATGCAGATAAAGAACTTAGCAGAGTACCTAACACAGGACAGGCCTAAGTTGCAGTGTTCCCTCTCGTGGCTGTGGTGTTCTCAAATCTGTTCAGACTCTTGGGTGCTAGTGGACAGTGTCCCTGCAGCACACTTAGCACCCTGATTTTCAAACTAATCTGACCTCAGGGTTCCAAGGGCAAGGGAAGGGGATGTCTCAGAAACTGAATGAGAGGCCTTAGGACTTTAACCTCTCTGGGCTTTTTAATTTTTTTTACATAACGGGGTTTCAAGATCTCCAATGACAAAAGGGTCTTGGGGCTAAAACAAAGTTTGAGAGTACCTGGTTGTGTCTGTGTGCGTGTGTGTCACTGAGTTTTGAACAGCCTCACATGTTAGGCAAGTGCTCTACCACAGAGCACATCCAGCCCTTAAAAGTACCTGGCTGTGAAACTAGATGGGCCTTCAGTGAATCTGGCTGGAGATAAGGGGGACTCATGGCAGAAAAGGGACACAGCTTGGGAGGTGGGGATAGGATTGTGGTTCAAGGCTAGCCTGGGAAAAAGTTAGCAAGACCCTATCTCAAAAACAAGTCAAGGAACTGGACCCTGGTGGCTCGCACCTATAATCCCAGCCTCTCAGGAGGGAGAGATCAGGAGGATCATGGTTTGAAGCCAGCCTGGGGAAATAGTTTGGGAGACACTATCTCGAAAAAACCACCACAAAAAAGAGCTGGTGGAGTGGCTCAAGGTGTAGGCCCTGAGCTCAAACCCCAGTACCGCAAAACAAAAACAGAAACAAAAAACAAAACAAAACAAAAACAAATCAGGCACAGTGGAATATACCTGTAATCTCAGCTACTCAGAAGGCAGAGTAGGTAGATTGCAGTCTGAGGTCAATGGGCAAAAGTGTAAGACCCTATCAGAACACCAAAAAACAAAATAGCAAAAAAGGCTGGGAGTGTGGTTCAGGTAGTAGAGCTCTTACCCAGCAAGTTCAATCCTCTGTACCACCAGAGAAAAAAAAAGAAAGGTGAGAATGAGTGTGCTCAGAGACCAAGCTGGCTAGTGGGGCAAGGATAAAGACTAGCTTTACGGTCAGAACAGGTGATGGAGGCTGCAGAGGGAGGGGCCCAGACCAGATATGGAGAAAAAGAAGGAACTTCCTGACTCTAATGCTTGTTTAGGGCCAGCCACTTCTCTCATCTGACTCACAGCCCAGGGCTTGAACCTTCCAGGCGGTCAAGGGCAGGCAGGAGATGGGACAGTGAGGGGAGAATATGTTCTTCAGGTACAGAATCCCTGATCACAGGGTCCAGAGGCTCTGGGCCAAGCACCAGGAAGCTGTGCATGCCGGCAGCCCGAGCCCCTTGATAGTCACAGTGGTAATTGTCCCCAATATGGGCTGTCACTGTCGGCTCCATATTAGCAAGCCGTAAGGCCTCCTGGAAAATGCGAGGGTCTGGCTTGGGGCAGCCAGCAGCTTCTGAAGTCAACACAAAGTCAAAGTGTTCCCGCAGGCCAAGACCCACCAGGATATTCTCTAGCCGTCGATCAAAGTTGGAGACCACTGCCAGCCTCAGACCCCGCTTGCGGCACCCCCTCAGGGTGGTCTCAGCCCCCTCCAACACCTGCCAGGAGCAGGGGCTGCTGAAGTCTTTATACAGCTGCTCAGCGATGGAGGCCACAGCCTGCACATCTGGGACACCTGCCAGGTGGAACGTCTTCAGGACCACATCCAGCCACCACTGGTGGGAGGTGAGGCCGTGGCTCAGGCCATAGTTGGGGAAGCTGTGGCTCTGAGCCCTGTATGCCTGTCTGAAGGCTTGTCCCAGGGCTGTGGCCTCCACCTGCAGCCCATGGGCTCGGGCCTTAGTGGCATATTCCTCCCCCACAGGGTAGCGGAGCTGGAGCAGTGTGTCCTTCACATCCCATGTCAGCAGACGCAACTGAAGTCGGTGTGCCATGGAGGAGGCCATGGGCCTGAGGTCTCTAGGGAGATACGGAGCTGAACAAGACCACCTTCCACAGCCCAAATCTCCTCTTTCCAGGCTGCGTGGGTCAGACTTGGGGGTTGACACGAGGCACTTTGGAAATGTCTTGACTACACAGGATCCTGGAATGAGAAACAGCAGGTGAGGTAGAAGCTAAGGCGTGGATGTCAGAGAGGCTGGATCCAAATTCCGGCACTGCCAACTGTGTGACCCAAGGAAAGTCACTGTATGAAATTCCTAAGAGGAAAATGACGACAACCCCACAAGATCTTTCTTTAAATGGCAATCATTCATTCATTCCAAAACATATTTCTGAGCAACTTAATAAGCTCAATGCTGGAAAACAAGACAGGTTTCCAGCCCTCATGGCTTTTATAGGCATTAAAGAATAGGGGAAGCCAGGACCAGTGCTCATGCCTTTAATCCTAGCTACACAAGAGGCAGAGATCAGGAGGATCGCAGTTTGAAGCCAGCCCAAGGCAAAGTTTGTGAGACCCTGTTTTGAAAATACCCAACACAAAACAGGGCTGGTGGAGTGGCTCAAGCAGCGGAACGCTTGGTGGGGCCCTGAGTTCAAGCCTTAGTACCATAGAAAAAAAATTAGGGGATAGATATTAGGCAAAAAACTACACAATTAAGCATAATGAAATAAGTATGCATCATGGGGATATAAATCCAGGGATCCAATCTAGTCTTTGAACTCAGGTGAAGTTTTGGTGGCGATCTGAAGAATGATTATGAAGGAAGCGGAAGTGGTTAACTGTTTCTGGCAGTAAAAATACCAAGAGTAAATAGTGAGAAAAGAGGGGGGGAAAAGTATTAAAAAAAAAAAAAAAAACCCCAAGTGCAAAGACCCTGGGGCAGGGAAAGAGTCTGCTGCTTTGGACAGAGTTGAGCTCAGGCATAGCCCTGTTGGTCAAAGTAAGGTCAAAATAAAAAGTAGTTATGATGAACGTTATTACTATTACCAGTATGTAAACAGAGAAGGGCCCTCGCAGACTATCTGACCAGCATCCTAGCGGTTCAGCAGGGAAGAGACTGAGTCAGAGAGGGGCAATTATGTATCTAAAATCACAGTGAGCTAGCAAACACGACCAGGACCAAACCTCAAAACTTCCAGACTCTGGTCAGGGCTCCCTTCCACTGCACCATGCTTAGATATACTTACATTAAAAAAAAAAAAAAAATCAGGGCCGTCAGGTGCCTGCCTAGCAAGCAGAAAGCCCTGAGTTTAAATCCCAGTACCGCCCCAAACTAATAAATACATAATTAGAAAAATCGGACTCTGATGAACCAGTTACAGCGTTGGACAGAAGGACAGAGTGGCCTAACCCTCTCTGAGTCTCAGCTTCTCCATCCTTCCTGGAGGTAATAACACCTGCCTGGACGGGCCAGCGGCCACATGCAGCTTCCTTCCCCAGCCAGCGCTGACTCTAGACAAGGCTGTCCCTTTGAACCTGAGGGGCCGGAGTTCACCGTGCTGGGAATGAGTCTAGGGATGTGTGTGACAAGGAAACGACTTTAAGGCGGCCTGGAGCAGGGAGATTCATTCACCTGCTTGTGCAGGTGGGTAGATGGAGGCCCGGCGAGGGGTGAGAACGTGCCCCAAATTGCACTGCGCGTCACTGGCTCTACTCCCACCAGAGCAAAGGACGCTGGCTCCCGATCTTCCCGGTTTCTGGCAGCCAGGTTGGGGGCTCTGGCTGTGGGTCTGAATGGTTTCCCCTTCCACCGTCTTCCGGGGCTAAGCGGAGCAACGTCCTGGAAGCCCCGGGTGGCGCGATCTCTCCAGCTGACCGGGGGCGGTAGGGTCCCGGGCCGAGTCAGCTGCTGGGCCTGGCTCCAGGTATCCGCAGCCCAGCACCCACCTGGATTGCAGGGAAGCAGGCCCAGCGGGCTCCTGGTTCCGGGTGGCCCCTCGTCCCCGCCCCGCCCCTCGTCCTCGTCCCCGCCCCGCCTCCTCCGCTCGCGCCGCGCCATCCCCGCGCCTCTTTCCGCCCTTGATTCCCGCCCCGCTGCACCCGGCCACACTCGCGTCTCTTCCGTTGCCCCGCCCCCGCGTCGGCTCTCACGGTCACCGGGCATTCGCCCTCCCGCCCCACCCCCACCAGTCTCCGCACCTTGCCATCCGCTCCACTTGCCCCACCCCGCGCCCTTCGTCTGTCTGCCTGTGATCAGGACACCCCGGGAGGTACCCAGGCTAATTTGGAAGAGTACGGGGATTTGAGAACCATCCTGGCTTGTCCAGTGCTTGTCCAGCACTAAGGAGCTGCCCTCCTCTGAACCTGAGTCCCAGCTTCTCCACCCTTCCTGGAGGTAGTAACACCTGCCTGGCCCGCTAGCGCATGCCAGAATTACTGACCCAGTAAATAAGAAGCAGTTCTCTGTCCCAGTCCAGAGGCCGCATGAAGCTTCTTTTCCCACAGTGTTGACTCCAGACAAGGCTGTCCCCTTGAACCTGGGCAGCGAGGGGGTGGTGTTCAAGGGGACAGAGTTCACAGGGCGGGCATGCTATGGCTGGGAGAGGGAGGGCCATGGCTTGTGAATCTGGGAATGATCCTATGGAACTGTGACAAGGAAATGGACTTTAGGCGACTTGGAGCGGGGAGATGCATTTAGAGCCTCTCCTTGGGCAGGTGGATAGGTACAGAGTCCCCAATCCGTACTAGAAGGGAATTGCTTTCAGTTGGAGACTTGTCTCAGCTACGACAAATTGCAGAGGGTGGGCAGTCCTCTGCAGCAAACTAGCTGCTTTTTTTTTTTTTTTTCTGTACTGTACCTTGAGCCACTCCACCAACCCTCTTTTTGTGATGGTTTTTTTTCCAGATAGGGTCTCTCTGAACTGTTTGCCAGGGCTGGTTTTGAACCTCAATCCTCCTGATCTCTGCCTCTTGACAAGCTAGGATTACAGGCGTGAGCCACTGGCGTTTGGCAAACTAGCTGCTTTTTAAAAAAATTTTGAGAAAAAAAAAAAAAGACTTTTCCCCGAAAAAGTAATGCATGTTCATTCCAAAAAAAAAAAAGAATACCAATATGTCCCAAGAAAAAGAAAAGGAAAGCTGTGCCCTAACCTTTCTTACTCACCAACTGCTTTGTGCCTGACCCTGACCTTCACGGAGGATGCAGATGTAGTGGGAAACCAGCGGCTTCCTGCCAGCGTGGAAGATGGGAGGGACAGGCAAAAATCAAATAAATAAGTGAGGTGATTCCAGAGAGTAAGTGCTGTGGAGGCAGAGGTGGGGAGAGGAGGAGAGGAAACAGGGGCTCCCCATCCCACCTCGAATTCTTCTTTCCTGCCCTCCACCCTATTAAAACCTCTTCCTGTATTCCATGGCTCCTCTGAGGACTTCATTCAGAATCAACGTACTCTTCCTTGGTTTGAGGCCCGGGAGGCAACAAAGTGCCCTGTCCCAGACAGGGACCTATGAGGGAGAACCTGCTTTTACTGGTTTTGCGTCACTAGCATAATTCTCAGAGTGGGGATGGGAAGGGTGACTGGGAGGTCAGAGGTCCACCTGCATTTCACAAAATCCAAGAATGCCTGAGGGCTTCACTTTTCAGAGCCTCCTACTAAAACTTAACCCTTTAGGATCTCTGTTCCTCATTTCTTTTCCTGAGCCTCAGCCCCCCCAATATACCAAATGGGTGGGGGAGGAAAACTAGACAAAATAACTTCCAACTAAAGTCCAGGCTAGTTTTAAGTTGGTTTCCAATACAATTAACTTTGCCCATGGGACCTATTTGTCCCTAAGGAAACAGTCTACATCAGAATCAGATGAGATCCCTTGGGAAAGCTCTTCGAGAATTACAAGATTTTTTTTTTTTTTTCAGATGAGAAAATTGAGCCGCCTAGAGGTTAAGGGTTTTGCTCAGGGTCATATACAATTTCCGCCTAGGGCCATGGCACTGCTCACCTCCAGGAAGGGGCATTTCCATTCTGACTGTGTGTGTGTGTGTGTGTGTGTGTGTGTGTGTGTGTGTGTGTGTGTGTGTGTGTGTGTGTGTGTGTGTGTGTTCCATTCTGACTCTGTGTGTGTGTGTGTGTGTGGTGTGTGTGTGTGTGTGTGTTCCATTCTGACTCTGTGTGTGTGTGTGTGTGTGTGTGTGTGTGTGTGTGTGTCCATTCTGACTCTGTGTGTGTGTGTGTGTGTTCCATTCTGACTCTGTGTGTGTGTGTGTGTGTGTGTGTGTGTGTGTGTGTTATGTGGAGGGGACTGAACCCAAGGCCTTGGGCATGCTAGGCAAACATCCTGCAGCCCTATCCTTTTAATTGCATAGCTTTGTTTTTGAACTGTGTATAAGTGGAATAATATAGCATGCACTCAAATAAAAAATTAAAAAAAAATTACCTTGAGTTCAAACCCCAGTACCACCAAAAAGTAAGTAAATAAATAAAATAAAGATATACCATGCACTCTTTTACATCTTGCTTCTTTTGCTCAAAATTTTGTTGGTAAGATTCATCCATATTTCTATGTATAATTGTATTTCACTCATTCTATTCTTGTTCTTTTTTTGGGGGGTGTTGACTTTTTGGTGCTGGGATCAAACCCAGGGAATTTAGCATGCTAGACAAGCACTCTACCACTGAGCTCCATCCCCAGCCCTTCCTTGTTATTAAGAAAAAATTAAAACCACTGGGGATTAGTTCCACAGATACCAAATCTGGGATACTCAGTCCCTTTACAAAAAAATGAATGGACTGGAAGTGTAGCTCAAAAGGTAGAATGTCTGCTTTGTAAACTCAAAGCCCGGAGTTCAAACTCCAGTTCCACCAAAAAAAAAAAAAAAAGAAAAAAACCCAACAGGTATTTACATATAACTTATACAAATCCTTCAGTATACTTTAAATCATCTCTAATTACTTACACTACTAAAAAATGCAGTGAAAATGCTATGTGAATTGTTTAGGGAATAATGATAAGAAAAAGTTTGTACATGTTCAATACAAAAACAACTTTTTTCCAGTATTTTTCTATCCCTGATTTGTTGAAAGAGGATTAGAGGACCAACCTTACAGTTCTGCAGCCTCAGTTTTTTGGGTTTTTTTTTTTTTTGCAGTACTAGGATTTGAACTAAGGGCCTACACCTTGAGCCACTCCACCAGCTCTTTTTTGTGATGGTTTTTTCCAAGATAGGGCTTCTGAAACTATTGTCTTGGACTGGTCTCCAACCGTGATCCTCCTGATCTCTGCCTCCTGAGTCACTAGGATTACAGGCATCAGCCACAGGCTTTGGGCCACTCCTACCTCTTTAAAATGACTTGCTGTAGTCTGTAAAGATTACAATTCTGATTTCACCTCAAGTGCATCCTCCTGAGTGACAGTACACTTTGTTGGGCTCCGCAACTTGTGACTTTTTTTTGGACAGGGTTTTGCTATGTCCTGTAGGCTGGCTGGAACTTTAGATCCTCCTGCCTCAGCCTCCCAAGTGCTGGGATTATAGGTGTGCACCAAAATGCCCAAATTTGCAACATTTTTAAACGTTCTTGAATCTGTTGTAAACTTGGGAAACACTACTAATAGCTTATCCTACTCTTTTCACAACAAAACCATTTATTCCTGTAATCAACTGGGCAGCAAATTTATGGGAATTTTTCTTGGCCCTCCTGTACCTTAGGACGAAGTTTCAAGGGCATCAACAAATCAAGACTTCCTGCTATGGTCACAGGAATTCTCTTTTGGTCTGTAAGTAGGCTGAATCTACGTGGAAACTGATTTTTTTCCTAATCATGCCCAAAAATAAGAACTATGATGTCTCAAATTTAACCACATAAACTAGACAATCAGATTGCTGGAAATGCAAAAAACCCTCAGCAACACACTGGATTATTCAAATTCAATCTCATGCAATTAACCAAATCTCAAGAATAAAGAATATTCTGCCTGCTTGGGGCTGACCAGGTCCCAACCAAGAGGGTCCCAGCCCCAGCAGAAGCAGCGCCCACAGCTCCCGGCGCCAGGTCCTCGGGACCCGAGCAAAGAACCAGGGCGACTGGGCGGCTGCCCCAGTCCCTCCTGGGGCGCAAGGAAAGAGGAGAGTGAGTCTCGGAACCACAGGGCCCCCAACACCAGAGGGACGCCCCGGGGGGCCACGGATCTGCCGGGAGCCTGGGCTGGTTTATTCTAATACCTGTAGTATTCCACTACCTGAATTCAACCATGTTTTACAAATTGGGTCTCCAGAATGGGGTTATTACACATATTAGAAATCGTGAGCTGGGTGTGAGGCCAGCCTGAGCTGCAAAGTGAAACCCTGTCCCCACCCAAAAAAAAAAAAAAGTTTCTATGAACATTCTTTTCCTGTGTTGATCCAAAATCCCTGGGCTCAAATGATCCTCCCAACTGTATGGTGATATTTCATTGGTTTTTGTTGTTTTGTTTTGTTTTTTGGTGCTGGGGGATTGAACCCAAGGCTGACCTGATCACACTCCTGTTATGAAAACCACTGTTTGTTTTTGGCTATTGAACTGGTTTTAGTCACGTGCAGCTAAGAGCACCCAAAACAATCCAGAGCTTGGTCTGCTAATTTATGGAATTAGCAGAGGCCACGTGGAACAAGGAGCAGGTCAGCCTTTCTCCTTCACTACTTGGAAAACTGGTGATTTTTGCTTTCAGTAATATGGCTGGTTAAATGGCAAGCTGAAGTATAAGCTGGCACATCTGAGAGGTAAGCCAGAAAATCAGATCTAAGAGAGGCCCTTGACGTTCATCACTCAGCTGAGATGCCCACAGCATAATAATGTGCCTTGCCAGGTTGGTCCAGAGATAAATAAAATACTAGGCAGGGCAGGCCACACAGGAGACTTGGGCTATGAAGGATCCAGATCCCATGGGATCACCTAGCTAAGCCTGCTCCCTATCCATTATTATCCTTGAAGACAAAACATTGTGGGCAGGAGACACCAGGCTGGCACCTCAGGTGATAGGCCCTGACTCCAAGGGGTACCTCTTAGTAGACCATACCACCTAACAGCAAATGGGCCTGGGTTCAATATTGGAGCTAATTATCACATGACATTAGACCAGTAACTTCACCATAGCTTATTGGGAGGTCCTTTGGCAGAGTGGTTAAGGGTAGAGGTCTTGGACTTGGGACTATATGGATTCAAATCCCAGCTGTTTGTGTGTGTGTATATGTGTTTGGCACAGCTGAGCTGGTGGAGTGGATCAAGTGGTAGAGTGTCTGCCTAGAAAGCATGAAGCACTAAATTTTTTGTGTAGCTGAGGCTTGAAGCCAGTTCTGCCACAAAGTAACTGAGTGGCTTTGAGTGAGTGATATAAGCTCCTTAGCTATATCATCCCAAGTTCAATTTGGTATTCTTTCTTTATCCTAAACCTGCTGCTGTTCCAGGCATCCCTGCCTTAGTAAATTGGCCCATTAACCACCCAGAAGTTCAAGCTCATGCTTCACATCTAATTTACTTCCTAAACCCACTCCCTTCTTTCTTCCTACTGTCACCTCTCTAGTCCAGACTATCCCAATTTCTCACCTACACCTTGTCACAGTACTATCAAAATGGCTTGATAAAAATGCCAACTAGATTGTCACTTCCCTGCTAACATATTTCAAATATCTTTCCTTAATCTCAGAATAGTCTGAGATCAGACTGAGACTAAAGTGGCCTCTGAGCCCCTGTATGGTCTTGGTTTCTCTCTCCACCATCTTCAGGCTACCTTTTCCTGTCTTTTCTGGTGCCCCAGCCTCCTAGCCTTATATTCCTCCAGCTCCTTCTATCCCTCAGGGCCATTGCACAACTGTTCTCCCTTTTGTTTGGAATGTTCTTGCCCAATCATGTCTTAGCTTGGTCCCTCTTCTGAACATTAGTCCTTCAGGGAAGCGTTTTTCTGATCCTTCAAAGCAGGTCAGGTGTCAATGGTACATGTCTGCCTTCTGGTTCTGAGAGAATTCATCCCCAGTCCACTTGAGGTTCGACATGTGGTCCTTGCATTCTTAAGACTGTACCTAAGGGCCCCATCTCTCATCTTTCTGTGCATACAACAGAGCCGGATACTCTACTTGTTTGGCAATAATGGGTCTGGGATGGCCCAGGAAGACCCTCCCTTCCACACTAATCATTTTAACCAGAAGAGCCCAGGAGCTAAGAGACAGGAAGCTTAGAAACTAAGACAGCTCAAGTTGCTGGTCTGGTCTACCACTGGCCCAGCAAGGTTTGTCTTTTTTTAGTGATTTGGACCCTTGGTCCAGGCTCAGGCTCCCTGGGAAGGTGAAGCTTTGAGATTCCTCAAACCTGGATTCCAGTGGGCCACTTCTAGAAGGCTGAGAACAGATGAGATCAGGTCTTAAGGTAAATTGCCACAGCTCTGACAAAAGCCAACAAGAATTGGAAGGGACTGATCTGACTGAAGAAGCTGAAAGGAATTTATAATTCTAAATTAATTCTACACTTAAAAATGGATTGTATAGCTTTAGGATCTAAATTGAAGTTCCTTTGGTCTTAGTGTGAAGATTCTGTCCCTTTGCAGATGGGTAGGTAGACTTGCAAACTGGCTCTGCCCAGCAGGGTCTTAACTTGCATTAGGGGGCAAACAAGATTGTCATTTGTCTCAGAAGAATGAACTGAAATCAGCCATGTATTTGCTAGATCCAGAGATCCATTAAGATATCCTTGCTTCCTCTTGTCCCTTTACTCTCCTCTGGGATTTAAAGCATCTGCAAAATCTGATTTTTGTCTCCAGAATATTTCTGCAGGGCCAGAGGTACAGCTCACTGGTAGAGTGTGTGGTTAATATGTACAAGGAATTAGGTTTGATCCCCAGCAACAGAAAATAAAACAAAAACCACAAAACTTCTCTACCACTTGAATCATGACCCTAGCCCTCTGGCTTGTATTTTGTTTTTAAGATAGGGTTCTACTATCTTTACCCCAACTGGCCTTGAACTTGAGATGATCCTGCCTCTCCTTACAGAGTAGCTGTCGTCTTGTGGTTCTTGTGATTTCCACTCTTTGTAAAATTCTTTCCTTGACCCTCTCTGATCTCAACTTTGGGAGGGCTTCCCAACAACACTCAAGAGGACCCCTCCTGCCAGGAATGGTGGTACACACTTGTGATCCCAGCATTTGGGAGGTAGAGACAGGAGGCTCTCAAGTTCAAGGCCACCCTGGATTATATAGATCCTGTCTCAAAAAACCAATAGTTAGGGATGTTCCCCAGTAATATAGGACTTGCCTAGCATGTGCAAGGCCCTGGGTGTGATCTCCAGCACCACTAATAAAAAAAAAGAAAAAGAAAAGAAAAAAAAGACCCCGCCCTGTGATTATCTCATACCTTTCCTTCTTTCAAAGCATTATCACAATTTCTGTTTTATTATCTGTTCCCTTATCTGTCTCCCAGCTTCTCTTTGCATAAATTCCACTAAGAGACAAGCTGAAGCTTGCCTACTGTGTTCACAGAACCCAACACTGCTCCTGGGCTCAGAGCAGAGGTTCTCAAGAACTATCTTGTGAATAAAAAGCCTTTTTGGATGGTGGCATCTCCAGCAGTCAGGAACTCTCTCTTTGCTTCAGGATTTTGATCCTCATTAATGAGTAAGTCTTCTCTGGGTCTACGGCTCCAAGTGGAACAGATCTCAGGCAGCCTGGCGACTACTGGCCTATGTGAGAAATACCTTTCCTTGGAACTGAAGCACAGCTTAACTCTAAACCAGGATGTTAAGCAAGGCCTTACTCCTTCACCCAGCTCTGCTGCCAGAGGCCCCAGACTTTCAAAGCTTCCCAGGATACAAGAGACCAATGCTCCAAGCCCCTCTCCCAGGCCTCAAGCCTGTGTCCAGGACTCTTGGTTGCTGCCAAGCTGAAGCCACACCTGAGGAGAGACCTAGGGGTGGAGAGGCAAGCCTCAGGGCTGAGCCTGGGCAGGATGGAAAAGCCTGGAGAGCCTGTGAGGATACAGCTGCTAGTGCTAAGATTTTAGCATGCTGGCAGAAACCACCCAGGGTTCTGAGGCTCTGCCAGCATGTGAGCAGGAAGAGGGAAAAGGGCACAGTTCAAACAGCAGCATTTACTTTGGTTTTTCACTTTTCCAAGGCCCTTGGAGCTTTCTCAAGGTCTAGTTCTCAGGTGCTGCTCTCTTTGCATCACTCCTCCTTTAGCCACTGCAACAGCTGAGGCGTGTAATAAGTGATGATGATGTCAGCACCTGTGTGGGGAGAGAAGCAGAAAGTAGGGGAGGGGTGTGGCATCAACTCTGAACACACCCGGGAGGCAAGGGCCAGCACCATGAAGCAGCGCAGCAGGTGAAGTCACAGTCTGACACTGAGCCTGGCTTCAGTTCCTCCAGACCCGTGGTAAAACATTTTCTCTTTCTAGGCCTCAGTATGCCAATGCATGAAATGCACAGTGTGGAGGGGGGCGATAGGTAACTGCAAATTCTCTTCCTACACTGGTATAGGGAAAATCAAAACCCTACCAAATAACCCTGGGGCAGGGGAAGGGCAGGCTGAGCCTAGACCCCCCTGTGTCCCCACAGGTATCAGTTATATTACATTGTCAAACCTGCTTCCTGTTTCTATGGCCCTTTCCGGTGAGTGGGACAGGCAGGGGCCTGCTGTTAATCCCTAGCCCATCAGTTCAAGGCTGCTACAGTCTATCCTGAAAACCAGTATGGTGTGCAATACTAACAAAACCTGCTTCCATTTACAGAGAAATGAACATGTGATGATTACACATGGTGTCTCACTGAGACCTCAGCACAACCATGCACTGCGTATCTTAGTCCTGGTTTATAGACAGGGACACTGAGGTTGACAGAGTGGCCTGTCTGAATTCTCACAACCAAAATGCAATGGAAGGCCTTGTTTTTCTCACTGCTGGATTTCCTGTTCTGCCTTCAAACTGTATCTGTTTAGATACCAGTAATTCTGGGCAAAGTGCCCATCAGTCCTTGTGCCACAGGTCACAAACCCTGCCCCTGCCTGCTTACCTGCTCTGCGAAAGGCAGTCATGGCCTCCAGTACAGCAGCCTTGAGATCAAAGGCCCCGGCCCGGGATCCATGCCACAGCATAGCAAACTCTCCAGACACATGGTACACAGCAAGGGGGAGTGAAGGGTGCTGCAGAGAAGCAGTGATGGGCACGTGGATTAAAGTGGAGGGTGGATGTGCTCTGGGAGGGTTCCTTCCTTCTTGCCTAGTCTGCGACCATCTTGGGTCCCATTCTAGATCACTGCTGCTGGTAGCCCAGACCATTTTACAACTGTTCAACCATTGCTGTCCAAAGGCTGTGAGCCCTGCCTTGGAGGCCTGGATGGTATCCTGTTCAGGGGCAAACTGCTTCCAGCTGGGAGAATCCAAAGCCCCTCCCTTTAAGGTCCCAGGCCTATAGATAAACCCTCCCAGCCCTCTGAGCCCCCTGTTCTGCTCCATGCTAACCTTGTCCTTCACCTCCCGCACGATGTCCAGGTAGGGCATTCCTGGCTTTACCATGAGCATGTCGGCTCCTTCCCGTACATCTCGGTCCTAAGGGTGCAGGAAAAGTGTGAGAAGTCCTGGCCAGGGGATGGGTCAGGGTGGGAGTGGGTGGGGCTTAAGCCCTAGTCACTCACCACTGCACGGAGGGCTAGGCCCCGGGCTCCAGGGGGCAGCTGGTAACAGCGGCGGTCTCCAAACGCTGGGCTTGACTGAGCTGCATCCCTGAAAAGCAGAGTCACCAGGGTGAGTTTCAGGTTTGGACTAAGGGACCAGGAATTTAACAGCAGATCCTAGTCTACCCCCACTCACCGGAAAGGTCCATAGAAACAGGAAGCAAATTTGGCACTATAGCTCATCACTGATACCTGTGGAGAGACAGTGGGGTCTAGGCTCAGTCATTCTCCTGATGTCCCGGGTGATATGGCAGAGAGAGAGGACGTCAGCTAGGAAACAAGAGTGTCTATACTACAGGTGTAATCCAGCACTAGGCCTTCATCTTCCCCATCTGAGGATCCGAGGTTTGGGACGGAGCTCAGAGGCCTCATCCAGTGCTGTTCTTGGTTCTACAACTCTTTGCACAAATGGGGGCAGGGCTGATACAAGCTCTGTCCTCCCCTCCCCAGACTCCTCCCTATATTCCCCCTTGTACCCTGTTGCCAAGTCCATGTGCCAACAGGGCCTCCTTGATGGCCTCCACGCGTCCATCCATCATGTCCGACGGGGCCACTACCTGACATCCTGAGGGACAGAGGGTGGCCTTCAGAACTCTGGGACCCTCTTACACACTCTGCCACTTCCCTGTCCCGGAGGTATTCATTCCTGCTCGGGGCTTACTCACCTGCCTTGGCATAGGCCAGTGCCACCTCTGCCAGTCGCTGGCGACTCTCCTCAGCTCGGAGTGTTCCATTCTCACTCAGTAGCCCTGTGGGATAAGGTGGCTGGGTTTGGAGAAGAACCTTGGGCCCTGATCTGTGCCCACCTTGGGGAGAGCTGGGTAGTGGGTATGGGTGGTAGTAGGGCTGGCGGGGGTGGCAGGGAGGGAGCTCACCACAGTGACCGTGGGAGGTGTAGGGGCACAGGCAGACATCACAGGCCACTAGGAGGCTAGGGAAAGTCTTCCTCAACAGACGGATTGCCTCAATAGCTGGGGACTCCTCAGAATCAGCTGCAGAGCCCCGCTCATCCTAGGGGCAGGGGAAGGAAGGATTAAGTAGTGACTGTGCATCTTGTGGAGCCTTTGGAAGGGCATGGTGGCTATCCTGGGCAGAGTGAAACCCTGGTCCTCTCCTTTCATCATCATCATCACAGTCTCCAAATGAGGAATCACAGAGGACTGTCCCCCTCTGGAGAAAAGCCAGTAGAGGCCCGGAGGTAGGACTTAATTTACCCAGTCAGGGTGTCACAGCCCTGCTTAGCTTCCTGATCCTACCCAGGTATTAGATTAAAGGCAGGGACTATGCCCGTTCACTTGTGGCCCCAGGACCAGCACAAGGCAGAAGTGAGGACAAGGTCAGTGTGGAATGTTAGCCCACACCCTCGCCCAGCATCCCTTTTTAATCCTTCCTCTGATTCTTCACCTTGGGAACTCTGCTGGGGACGCCAAAGACCAGAACGCAGCGCAGGCCCTCTTCTACTAGGGGCCTCAGCATCTCTTCAAGCCGGTTCACACCATACCTAGGGGTTCAGGGGCAGAGAGAGGAAAGTGCTGAAGAGGGCAGGCCCCTCTGGCCACTCTGTGCACATGGCACAGGAAGACTGAGCTCTACAGCTCAGGGCAGGGAGGAAAGCACCCATCGAACAGGTGAGAAAACCAAGCCCCAAGCAGCAGAGCTATGGCATTAGCTGTGGCGGGCTTATCCAAGGTTCTCTTACTGAACCCCACCTTCAGCTCAGCTCCCCTCTGCAATGGTCTGTGATGGGGTGATGTTACTACCCCAAAGTAACACTTCCACCTCCACCACTGGGTGAGCACTTTAGTCCCCAGGAGACCCTTCTCACTACTAAGCTGCACTTTGCTTCTCTAGATCCTCTACCTCCTGGGTCTGCCTCTGCCCCCTGGCACCTCCACCTGTGAAATCGCTCCCTCCACCAACCCCTTGCCCTTCTCCCATGCCTCTTACCTGGCCACTCCTGGAAGGCTGGCGATGGGCTGTACATCATCGGGAACATCCCTGCAAGAGTGGGGGGTGGGCTATGGATTGGGGGCTGTGGGAAGGGCCAGTGGTGGTGGGGTAACTGGGAGGGATGGCTGGGAAGCTGGGAAGGAATGTGAGAGGGGTGACGGAGGATAGGGGGTGGGATCCAGTGTCTGGTTCCCCTGCCTGGCCAAGCCCAGGGCCTGAAATAATAATAGGAACAACAAGAATAACAGTGACAATAACAGCAGCTGTACTAAAAGAACAGTAATCATAAGAAGGAGTCAAGTGGTTAAGAACTTGGACTCTGAAACCAGAGATCCTTGCTTCCTATCCGAGGTGTTTTCTGTCTAGGTGACCATGGCCAAGTTGTAACATCAATCTGAGCCTCAGGCCCTCCTTCATCTTGATCCTGGGTGGATTAACTCATTTATTCAACAAAAATTTACTGAGCACTTATTATGTGCCAAGTACTATTCTAGATACTAATGATTTAAAAAAGTGAACAAAACAGATAAAAATTCCTGCCCTCATGAGTCATATTTTTGGGGATAACATCTATTCCTTCCTCATACAAATGCTGTCAGGACTGAATGAAATAACATATACAGGTACTTAGCATAGGCTCTGGTACACAGTAAGTACTCAATAAATGCTGTCTAGTATAGTGTCATTCCTAAAACTGCCATCCTTAGCCTGTAGCCCACTTCCAACATCTGTGTTTCTAGCTGACGGACCACTTTGTGTTTTTGTTTTTGTTTTTTATTAAATGGTGACACTGGGGTTTGAACTCAGGACCTTGCACTTGTCAGGCAAGTGCTCTTCTAATTGAGCCACACCCCCAGCCCACTTTAAACCTCCCCTCAGCAATACTGATGCTTGCTCTAGTCACACACCTCCTCCCATCCCAGGCAGATGAGAGGCCTGGCACATTCCTGGAGACTCACGTGACAAAGATGGGGTAGATGAAGTTGGAAGCACTGAGGGTAGTGGTGGCCGCCTGCCAGGTCCGAAGCAGTGGGTGGAAGTAGCCGCTGTGCAGAACAGACTGGGGCTGCATAGTGTGGGCTGGAAGGGCACAGAGCAGTCGGCAAGTTGCACCAGAAGCTCCTGGGGTGTTTGGGGCAGGCTCAGCCCTGTGTTGGGGGTGGGCAACAGGAGGCACATGAGACATGGTTCTTGTGCTGAGATGCTCACATGTGCAAGATGGCTCTTACAGATTCCAGCCTCCCCTCTTTCCATCCCAGTGCTGTTCACAGTGCTGTTCACCAATCCTGCCTGTCCACCTCAAGGTAAGGAAAGAAATGAAAGGAAGCTTTTAGAAGCTTCAGAGCAATTTGAATCTAATGACAGGACATTCGGGTTGATAGTTTAGTTTATAAAATAATTTTCTAGTACCCTGTATTTATTCTATTTTATCTAACAATTGATGGGTTGAAAGTAAAGACAGAAACAGAACTGATCTTTTCCTATGTATACTTTGAGAAGCACTGGTCCAGCCAACATTTAAACTTTGTTTATTCCATGTAACATCCCTATGCTCACAGCAGAAATTTTAGAAAAGCACAAATAAGCATAAAGGAAAATCTCCCAAAATTCTACTTTTAGCTAGAGCTAAAATTCCATAGTACATGGACTTCTTACAAACACACGCTAAGATGACAAAAATACATGTATAACTGACAGAAGGATAGACATATCCTCACCCTCCCCTCATAGAGTGGCCACTAAAGCTCTTTGGGACCAGGGAACCTTCTTGCTTTATGGTGGCACCTTGTCCCGTTTCCCTAGAAGGCCTGAGCCACTTCCACAACCTCCCACATTTAAAGTTACCGGCTCCTCCTCTCGTTCCAGCTGAGGATTCCTTCTTACCCTCTTGGCAGTCTCTCTTATATAATAGCTCTTTGTTGTCCCAGCTTATCTCAAGCCAGAAGACAGAGTTTCCACAAAGCAGGGTCCAGTGTGAGTTCATTTTTGCCTCCCCCTACTGCTCTTTGCCCACACATGGACTCTGGCACACAGTAAATATTTAATTACGTGAAGCACAAAGCAATATGCCTTATATGCCAAGTAAGTGGTAGAAGTAAGAGAGAAAGAAGCAGGGCATCTTGTTTATTTCTTGAGTACCTACTGCATGCCAGGTTACACTGGCACTTTCACAGGTGACTTCTCTCAAGTTCACATGCCAGTCCTGGGAGTGGAGGAACCCAGCATGCAAGTCCTAGTTCCTGTGTGAGTTAGGAGGGCAGGCCAGGTTTGAGTTCCATTCTGCAGGATGTGTGCGTTCAGTCTGGCAGGGGAAGGGGACAGCACTCCCTCAGGGAAGGAAGAGAGGAGACAGAGGATGGCCGTGGGGTGTCCTGAGGAAACGAGCAGGCAATAAGAGGTGCAAGTGGAAGGAGGGGCAAGAGGACCAGACTGAGGTCAGGGAAGAGTTCTGAGTGGGGCAGTAGCCTGGTCAAGCCTGGTTTTAGGAAGATAAATCTTATGGCTGAGAAGAGCCGACCAGACAGAGGAGCATAGAGGCTGTGGGGAGCCGGGGAGCAGAGAAGGAAGGCCCATCTTGAAGCAGCCAACAAGCAGTCCCTTAGGGCAGATGTTCTGAATCAGCCTGACCTGGACAGCAGCAAGAGTCAGAGATAGGGCAGGAAGAGGGCGGTGGGAAACCAGAGTGGGAGAAGAGGCGGAGAGCTCCATTTTAGATATTTCCTTTTGGAGATGCCTGGGGGAACACCCAGTAGCCAAGTAGAGGAGAAAAAAGGAGCTGCAGAAAGTGGGGTTGATAGAACAAAGACCAACTGCTCCTTGTACAAATGGGGGCTCAAGACACAGAGTAGGCAGGGACTTACCCAAAGTCACACAGCAAGTTACAGGACAAAACAGGACTAGAACCCTGGGGATCCTTCAGTGTGCTGGTGCAGCCTTTCTGCCCTGTCTCTTTGGCCCCTTTAGCTATCCTGAACCAGTTCAGGGGCTTCTCTTATCCCATCTTCCTCCTTGGTGGGGTTGGTGTTATCAAGAGCTACACAAGGACTTACCCTGTCACCACACCCCTGGGTGGGCCAGACTCATCATTTGACACAGGGGCAGGCCAGGCCTCCCCAAAGAAGTCTCAAGCCCCAAATGAGAAACACTCAACAAAAAGAAAAAGAATCATTCAGCAGATATGAGGTCCTGTCTATTTTGTGCAAGATTGTGCTCTCACATCTGCCAGGAAACTGGGAGAGGTGGGCAAGCGAAGGCTGGAGGAGGAGGCCTCACTAGAGCAGTTCCATTGTGAGCTGGTTTTTTACTGAGGTAGAGGGAAGCAGAGAGATAATAGATTGAGAAACAAGTATCAGTGCTGAAAGAAAAAATTGAAAATCACTGGTTCTATTTAATCCCTTACATTTTTAATGTGGAAAATGGGTCACACAGTGAGTGAGGTATAGAGCTAGGAACTGACCCTGAGGCTTCTGGCTTCCAGTCCTGTATATTATATGACCTAAACCACACAGAGTCACACTGTTACTATAGGTGCTTAGTAAATATCTGCAGGGTAGGACAATGCCCAGTGGCTTCTGTTTGCAGAGCCACATCCAAGCTAGGGCTTTGCTTTGTGAAAGTCCCCTCAAAATTTAGGAAGGCACTTCTCCCAAACTAAGGGAGCTTGCAAACCTCAACTTAAATCCTATGTCACCACCTTTACTGGAGCAAGCCCCCATGAGGTTCCGTGTGTGTGCTCACCCACGCTAGAGTGTGGTAAGCAGTCTAGGGCAGCTCAGAAAGAGCTGTATTTCAGAGTCAAATGGTCTTAGGTCTGGTCTGGTTTCTGCTCTAGAACTTTGCCCACAGTCAGTGGCCTTCCAGGGCCTTCATTTCATAATCTGTGAAATGGGCTAATTATTAGAGAAGTGAGAACATACATGTCTGACACCAAATAGCTGAACAATAAACATGTGGCTGATTTTATTATTATTATTGGGAGCTGGAACCAAATCGCCTGGCACAGAGCTGTGCCTCCTGCGCCACACCTGTAAGGGAGGACATTTGTTCAAACCCTTGGGCCACAGGTGTTCCAAGAAACCTGAGATGAGGTCCCTGCCCTCCAGCAGGTTACGTGATAGACGATAAGTAAAATAACCACTGCACAGATGCCAGAGTAGAGGAGTGGACCAGGTGCTGTGGGAAGAACCTGTGTCTCTGGGAGTCAAGGGCAGCTTCGTGGAAGAAGGGATACTGAAGCACTGTTTTCCAGAATGATTGTGACAGTCATTTGCTTCCTTACTAGACAACATTCCCAACCTGGGAGTAACTTACCTTGGTTCTGAGAGCTGCTCTCAGGAGTAGCTGAGATCTTTCTCAGGCAGGGCCTGAGACCCAGCTGTCCTCTACAGAGGATCCCAGAGGCTGTGCTCTTGGCACAGAGGGTAGGGAGCTACTGCCAGTTCTGGCACACTCTGGTTGGGGAGGAGGCAGTCAGGAGGGCCAGCTAGGTAGAAGGGTCAGGGCTGGGAAAGCCAAAGCCCCAGAAAGGCTAGGGATGGCAGCTGTTAAGCAGTTCTGAAAAGGGACAGACTGGTGGCCTATTTGCATTTTCTGAGGTGCAGCTGCTAGATAAAGGGATTAAAGGTAGAATGAAAGGAGACCCCAGCCTGGCCCTAGGATTTTGAAAACCTAATCACCCTAGGTCTTAACCTTTGGCTGCCCATTTCCAGACTCTCAGAATATATTGCCTAGGAGGCTTCTTAAAGCCAGCCTCCTGACTACATCACTCAAACAATGGTGAGACTGGGCTCAGAAAAGGGGAGACATTGACAGGGGGATCATGAAGATTAGCTGTAGATTCAGGTATCCAGTAGCCCGGTTCTCAATTTTCATCAAGACCCACTACTTGATACTGTACTGTGGATGTCAAATTTTCTTCCCAGCAGAGCTGGGCTTACGGAGAGCTCCAGATGAAGGGAGCTGGGGGGAGCAAAGGAGTAGAACGGTGACTGTGGACCTGGTAAGAGAGTGGTTAAGTTTGTGGGCTTTGGAGTCTGATAAATGCGGGGACAAATTCTGTTTCCAGCTGTGTGGCCTCAGTTTTCTCACCTGGTAAATGTGGACTTGAACCGACCTCAGTGGGTTGTTGTAAGGACTGAGTGGGCCATTGCACGCCGGCGCTTAGCACAGCGGCTCTTACTGTTTCCACCTCCCTCCTCCAGCCCGCTAGACACCTCGGGCTGTGCAATGATGGAGACTGCCCCGGACGTCTCCAGTGAGGAGACTCGGAGTCCCCAACCTTGGCTGTTGCAGGACCATCTCTCCAAGCAGGGGCCCAAGGGGACTCGGTCTCTAGCTGCAGCGCCAGCGATTCGGGAGCACAGCACAATTTGAGGATGCGGGACTGACGGTGCAGCAGCCCCCGCCTCGCTCTGGAACCGCCCTCAAGCCCGCCATCTCCCGGAGCCCGCTCACCTGCCTCCCTACGATCTCCAAGCCGCTGCTCCTGCCACCGCTGTCTCCAGCTCGTCTCTCCAGCCCACGTGGGGGCGGGGCGGCTCACCCGGAAGCAGCTCCCCCAAAGCCCGCCCCCACCAGCATGAAGGCCACGCCCCCGCGGGCCTCGCCAGGCGGCAAGTCGGCTCTTGCACGCCCCGCCCACGCAGGTTGACTGACCAATCGAGTGTGCTAGGGGCTGGAGAGCCCGCCCCCGCCCCTCCTCCCCCACCACCCCCGCCCATTTTCTCCCACCCCCGCCCCTCCGCCCCCACCCCCCGCCCCGGGCCCGACGTGGGCGCGGTAAGGGACGGTGAGTGTGAGCCGGCCCATGAGGCAAGTACCACTCGGTGAATACCCCAGGGGTGGAAGAACAATTCAATATCAAGGACATTAAAACACCACCATAATGCCAAACATAATAGCTAAGTCCATTTTCGCGGACTGAGCACTTCAGAAGTTGTTGAGTTCAGCACCAGACCGCCTTCCCATTTTAGGGAAAATTTAATCCAGCGTGATTAATTACTCAGCATCTACTCTGTGCCAAGGTTGGGAGATGTGATTTGAAACGACAGGGACATTAAAAAAAAACCAAAAGCCCTCCATGTCTGATAGGGGTATCAGACTTGTCTGTGATAGGCACGTTGAGATGTAACCAAAGATCTGTAGGGGTTTGGAGCAGAGTATGTGTAGGGGCAGGAGGTTTCGGATGAGGTTATGAGGCCAGAAAAGAATGAGAAGCACGTTGGTGGTTGCCAGGGCCTGGGTGGAAAGAAGTATGGGGGAATGACTGCTTAATGGTACAAGGTGATGAAAATGTTTTGAAGGTACAGAGAGTGGTTGTGTAACATTGTGAATGAAAATCCACCTAGTTGTTCCTTTAAAAACGGTCAATTTGGGCTGGTAGAGCATCTGCCAAGCAAGCACGACACCAAGTTCAAACCCCAGTGCCGCCAAAAAAAAAAAAAGTAAAAACGGTTAATTTTTATGTTCTGTGAATTTCACCTTAATTTTTAAAAGTTCACTAAATGCAGTGTGATATTCTGCATTGGATGCTATAAGAAACAAAGGACGTTAGTAGAAAAACTGGTGAAATACCAGAATAGACTGGAATTTAAGTTTTGGTTAGTTTTGAGAAATGTACCACGGTTATGTAAGATGTTAACATGAGGGGAAGTTGGGTGAAGGGTATGAGAACTCTCTGTACTCTTTGTAACTTTTCTGTAAATCTAAAGTTGTTCCAAGATTTAAAAAAAAAAGTTTATTGAAACAACAAAACAAGCAAGGCCAAAGGGCCACTGAGACATGATCTCAGTGTTCATAAATTAGGCCAAAGGGCCACTGAGACATGATCTCAGTGTTCATAAATTAGTGGTAAGATTTTAAGTCACTTCTAAAGAGCCTAACTTCCCACTGGTAAAAATAGGGGGCTAGGCTGCAAGAGTAGTTTTGAATGGATTAGGATAGGAACTCTCCTACCTCCCAGATAAAGATTACAGTATCTGGGCAGGAAGGGCTATGCTAAAAAAGGCACAAGAAACGTGCTAGTAAAGTCTAGCGGAATGTAGCTACCTACAGGAATGAGGTGTAGCTGGGAAAAACTGTCCTCACTGATTCTATAATCAGTCTTCACTCTCAGAAAACATGTTTTTCTTTGGAAATTAAAGTTTGGTAAGGAACAGGGCAGGATGAATTAAACCCATTTGAGAGAACTTATTTGCATTTTTATTTTTTAAGCAGTACTGGGGTTTGAACTTGGCCTCTTGCTTGCTAGGCAGGCACTCTTAAGCCATACTCCCAGCTGGGATCTGTTTTTGACTGGAGCACAAATAGCCTTATGTTGAATAGTAGATGAGAATATTCTACTCTAAGGGGGGGCAAGCCCTCCTTACATGGGCTTATTATGTATGGGTATGATTTCCAAGGAGGCAGGGAGGGACTGTAGTATAGCAGTGTTCCAGGAAGATCCACTTGGCAATTACACAGGGGAAGTAGAGATGAGGCAGGAAACTGAGCTGAAAGGAAGTCACAGGAGTCCAGATGGGACTTGAGGGCTTAGCCTTGAGTGCAGCTTGTGGGAATTAGGAATGTTCCTGCTGTGGAGAAGGAAAAAGCAACTAGATCAAGTGACCACTGGGGCTTATCTTTGTGAAATCTTTTTTAAGATTTTTATTTTTGAGACAGGGTCTTACTAGGTAGGCCAGGCTGGCCTTGGACCTTTGATGATCCTCCTGCCTTAGCTTCCTGAGTGCTGGGATTACAAGCATGTACCATCATGCCTAACATGATCTTATCTATAAATGTGACTTATGATTTAAGTGTATGTGGATTGAAAATACCGAATTGTGATGAAGAGATAACAGAGATAAACTAGTTAATTAAAGCATTTAGAACAGTGCCATATATAGGACAGGCTCAATAAATGAATTGGGTGAGAATCTAGGGTGCCGGTAAGAGCCACTAAAGGTACTTGCGGTGGTTAAGGGTGACACCCTTGCCTGTGAATGTGCAGCACCTGCTGGTCATTCCAACTGATGTAGGACTCAATGTTTATAAAAGTCTGGCCCAGTCCATACCCCAAATACTGTATGGGGCACGATCAGAGGGTCCTCTCCAAAAGCACACTCTTATGAGTCATCACTTTAAACAAGAAATGTTCTTTATTTGTACAAAGCATTAAAATTTTCTCAACAGTCTTCAGTTGTTTGTCAACAAAACATTTCACTGTATTCACTTAACAAGTTAACAGTGTTCAACCCCAAGCACTCAGATGAGACAAGAAAGTGCTTGGAGTACTGAAGGGAAGAGGAAAAGGCTACAAAGGGCCAACACAGATGCTTTAGAAGCAATTAAAGGGATGGTTGGAGATTAGATTCCTGAGCACCATCAGCTTTCCCTTAAGGTTTAGAGGAATTTCACAAAGCCATTTTTAAAAGACATGAGACTAAGGAATCAGAGGAACCTACACTTTGGGATATTAAGCAAGTAATCAAAATTCCTAGAGTTGCAGATAGAGACAGAAGGTGGGAATGAGAAGCAGAAAATAGGGAGAAGTATAGAGGGGAAAAGTTAAGCCTAGTGGAAATAAACTCTGGAACTTGTCACAAATAAGAGTTTGAAAAGGCAGAGCCACAATCTAGGAGATGGATTACAAGAAGAGAAAGCCTGGATTTTACACCTTCCAGGAGGTGATAATGAATCCTAAAGCTGTACAGTGGCAGGCAGTGAGGTACATCTAAGACTAAGTCATCTGTTTTGTAAGACAGTGTCACTCTTGCTTGACCAGTTTCAATCCAAACCGCTTATGCAAGAGCATCTGTACATAGAGCACAGTCACCTCTGCAGGTTGAGTATCTGCAGGCAATAAAGGAGGGCTGTGAGCCAAAGAGTCTAGAGAAAACAAAACTTAATGCGACTGTCAAGTGAAGAGGTGACAGATTTCATTATTCTCTCAGAGCGTTTTAGTAGTTTCCTAGAGCTAAACCATTGTGACCATTTTGCGTGTGTGCTGCTGAAAATAAACCTAGGGCCCTGCACATGTTGTTAGGCAAGTGCTCTATCTGTGAGCTATATCCCCAGCCCTAAGTTACTATTGCCAAATACTGTGCAATCGAACATAGGCCAACCATGATCAAAGCCTCAATTTTTTCTGAGTCTTCACTGCCTCTGTGGTGTGGAACACAGCAGGCAGCACGGAGTTATTATTACTTTTTTGGAGGGTCAGGGAGACTGGGGATCAAAAATTACCTAAACATACATCTAAGTAAACAAGATATCAAATGGGCCAATTTAATTAGCCATTCAGAATCCCCCTTACTAAAAAGTCATAACCTTCAGCAAAATAGGATTCTGCTACTCAGATGCTCTGAGTCTGGGAAGAGCTAATTTTGATAATTCTATCCAGTTTTTATTTTGATCTTAGGTATCTGAGCCTAAGACCGCTCTACCCAGCAGGGAAAAGCTTCGCATAAACCTATGAGATATTTCAGGGTGGTACCATGAATAAATATGGTGCCAGTCTGCCCACTCTATTCAGTTGTCTACTTCCTCTTCTTCATTCTGTTCTTCTTCTTCCAGCCTTTCCTCATCTTCATCATTGTCCTCGTCCCTGTTCTTGTCTTGCTCTTCTGAATCTGTTTTTTTGTCTTTGTCCTTCTTCTTTTGCTCCGAAGCTTCCTTCTTGCCTTTCTGCTCCCGCCTATATGCTGTAATGAAAGGAGGGGGTTAGGAGGCAGAGCTGGAAGAGTGAAGCAGACACTGCAGCAGTTAACTCCATTAGAAAAGCTGAGGCATAAAAGGAAAACTAACCTGCTCAACATCACGAATAGATCAGAGATGGTACCAACTAAACTGGTCTCAGTCAAAACCAGTACTGGTTCAATGGTTCACTAACCATTGAAAAGCCTTATGGCTGGGTGATCGGGGCACACAGGATGAACATCTTTCTATGTGGCTTAGGAAACAGAAGGGTGGATACCTTCTAGAGCTTCTTTGAGCGGGACAATGAACCTCTGGAACTCCATCTCTTCCATGGCTGAGAGCACATCACTGGCATTGAGTGTCTTGCGCTTCCCCTTCATAGCGAAGTTGTTGGCACTGAAAATGAAAGAGAAAGACCGTCAGAAGCTGGCAGGCTCCCTCTTGCCGCGTGTGCAGCGGAGGGGAAGAGGAGCGCCCCGAGGTGGGTGGAGAAGCCCAGGGTCGTCTTCGATACATGGTTCTGGTGTGACACGGGCAAGTCCTCCCCACCCCTTCCCTGCACAACGCGCTAAGGCAAAGCTTTGGCGGCTGAATTTGCCTCAGAGCTTGTAGGAACTGGAGCAGGAACTAACTGTTGGGGGGTCTGAGGAGTCCAGGCCAGGAACTGGATCCGGGGTCTGCCTGCGCCTCCCTTCCGCCTGGCCCCAGCTGAGCTCTGGGCGGCTCTGCGACGCTCACCAGGACGTGGCGTACAGCACGAAGACGCTGGCGGCGCGAGAGATGGCGCTCCGGGCCTCCTTAGAGATGTTGACACCGTCCGGGAGCTGCGAGGAGAGCCGTGGTGAACACAAATGTCCGCTAGGGACCTGCTTCCCTCCAGCCCGCTCGTCCTCCCCCGGACCATCCGCTGGCCTGAGCCGCTCACCGCCTCCTTGATGATCCTGGTGATGACGGCGTTGGGCAGATTTAGGTCCTCGGGTCTCTCCGCCATTGCCACTGCTGGGACCCGATCGTCCTCCGCCTCAGGCCTCCAACTTAGGCAGCTACCGCGTCCGGACTTCCCGCGTCGCTATGGTCTGACCCTCCCAGGCTCCCGTCCAGCCCCACGTTGCCCACCGTATCCCACAATGCCCTGTACGACATACCCTCCTTCCTCCCCAGCCCCGCCTCCGCCTCAAGTCTCCGGTGCCTCCTAACTTTCCATATTGCTGTGGTTTTGGCTTACTGGGGTTTCATTCTGAGCCACCGTACTCTTCACGTTCTCCCAAGGCTTCTTATTTTTAACTTTACGCGGCCGCCTCATCCAGAGCTTTTGCATCAAAAAAGTTTGGCTCGAGGAGGCTTCTGTCCACTTCCCATAGTGCTCTGCGGCGTCGCCGCAGACAGGTGGCTAACGAGGGAGGGGAAGGCTGGGCGGGGCCTCTGCCGACGGGGGCCGGGCCTGGTGGGCGGGGCCTCTGCCGACGGGGGCCGGGCCTGGTGGGCGGGGCCACGGCCTCAGTTCCGCGAGGGCGGCCAGCGTTGTTTCCAGGTGTCTTGGAAACCCAAACGCTTTGGTATCTGCTTTCGTCTGGTGGGGAGCACGCGAGTCCCCCATTTTTTCCCCTCTTTGTGCGGAATGAAAGGGGGCTTTTTTTTTTTTTGGAGTCTACTGGAGCTGATGTCCATTCTTAGTCTTTTCTTGCCTCGTAACTTTGTATATAAAGGATAAGCGTTATTTAGGTTTTTTTGTTGTTTTTAACGTGGATTATTTTGCAGCGCAGCACTCATGCTGGCGATGTGGAGATGCGCCTGAAGAGACTTCCTCAGTTCAGGCTGGGCAGGTAACAGAAGGCGAGAAACAGCCTCTTACAAGAATAACATCACATTCAAAACCAAACCCTGTTAAAACTGTATTCACCTTTTCGTTCATTGTACATCTTTCCCATTCAGAATCATTACCGAGGTTTTGCACTGGCGATTTTAATTTTTTTGGTGGGACTGGGGTGTGAACTGATAGCCTTGTGCTACCCGATGAGCCACTCCCCCAGTCCGTGTTATTTTCATATTAAGTGCGTAGCAATTCTCACCTCCCATTGAGAACACTGTAATGCTGCTCTTTTCCCCACTTGAAACAAAGTCTCAAGAGTTTTGTTTTCCCGCTTTCGATGGAGACGTGATTTCAGAGAAGTATTTCCCTATTAGGAGAAAAACAACAAATAGATACAATGAAAAATACTTGCAGGGTGGTGTAGGGAACACTGAACTTCGGGTGATCAGGCCTGGCTTAAAGCAGCCAGAAACCACGCTTTTTCTGCCCCTTACTGTTTAGTTGGAACTGGGCCCAGTGTTGTCAGACATTTTAATCTCTAAGAAGAGCCAGAAATCTGGAGATGATAGACTATTTCAGTTTTTAAATACTGACTCAAAGTACCGACCAAACTAAACAAGTCATAGGCCAGGGGCAATCCCAGGCCAATAGTTTGCTACTCTGATCTAAATTATAAGTTGTTTACAACAGTGAGTTCATTTACTGTTCTTCATCCCCCAAACAGGTCCTTTCACATACTTAGTAGTCAGTAAATATGTTGAACAGAAAAAAGAAGAAATGGACGATGTCCCTAAAACGTTCATAGGAATAATGTGGTAGTGATTGCCTAAAACATCTCTAGAGAAAGATAATATTTGAATACTTAATTATACAGCACACAAAAAAGCACATTATCAAAAAAACCAAACAAAACAAAAACATTATCTCATTTAGTGCTTTTACAATCCTATTTAAGACACCCCCCCCCCTTTTATGAGGACACAGGCTAAGAGGGGTGAAGTCACTTGGCTAAGGTCCATAACAGCGAGTAAATGAAAAGCTAATGGCCTCTGAAGCAATGGCAAGTCTTAACGATTTGCAGTTGGAGCAAACCATTCATGGCCAGTGGATGTTTTATCTGTCTCTGTGGGAATTATAGCATGTTGGAAACTGAAGCATGCCTTAACAAGGCTTGAGATATTGAAAGCACTTGTGTGACTTTATTGGTTGTCATTTAATAAGGCTTTTCAGAAATGGTGGCATCTTCTCCTTCACGATTAATGAAGGGGAAAAAGGAAAGGAACCCAATATTTATTTTAAGTTATATGTCAGGCTTTTAAATATCCATTAACTAATTTTTATAATGACTGAAACAGTCTTACCCTCATTTTACAGATGAGGAAAATGGGGCTTAGATTGGATAAGTCCCAGGTCACTCAGCTATTAAATGGCCAATTAGGCCAGTCTGCTCCCAGACTTGCTATTTGACCTCATGCTGAGATGTTTTCATACATGCTTGTTTATCCTTATTTGTATAGTGACTACCATTTGCCTATATGGGTTCAAGAGAAGTATTTTTTTATTTGAGTCCCAGTTGAGATCTGGATAGCATGACTAATGTATGGTAAAACTCTCAATTATGCTACTGTTGATTCTCAGAGGGCTGGGAAATTGCAGGTATGGCCTTTGTTCTAAAGCATTTATAGCTATGGATTTGCCAGAAGAGAGCCAGTGGGATGAAACTACCTGCAACTTGGCTATTTGTCAGCATCCACAGTGCTGGGCAACTGTCCGAAGGATTGAGAGGGGCCATCCTCGAATCCTGGGCTCACTGGGCAAAACTCCCCTGGATGTTCAAGGTGAATCAGCTAGCCTCTGTCTTCTTCCTCATGAGGTCCTTAAACTGTTTCCATTTGGCTCCCTCTCTCCTGGTAACACTTAACATGCTTTCTCCCGGGTTGCTTTCTCAGATAAACTCCCAGTGCTCACGGTTGCAAACTTCTCCAATTCCTACCTCCAGGCCAAGAGACTCACTCAGCAACATTTATCAGGATTTACCTTCACTAAAGCCCGTTCTTTATTGTGTCGGGGTTCAAAGCTTGACTTCAAGTTTCAACGAAGGTAAATTATCCTGGAATCTTCCTTTAGTGGATGGTTTTCTCAAATTTCTAGGTTATCATTTTCCCTTACCCACACAGGAGGCTTTGAGAAATCTGGATTAAAAAGGAAAATACTAATTCAGTTAAAGAAGTGGTGACTAGGTGGAAGGAAACAAAAAGAAAGCACTCTTCTTGTGTTTTAGGTGCTGGATAATTTAGAGCTGTACTGGTTTGCTAGTGCTGCCATTACAAAGTACCATAGACTAGGAGGGTTAAACAGTCAAATTGATTTTGCTCCCAGTTCTGCAGGCTAGAAGTCTGAGATCAAATTGATAGCAGGTTCTTTTCTTTTCAGGCCTGTCTCCTTGGCTTGGAGCTAACTGTCTTCTTCCTCTGTCTTCACATGGTCTTCCCTATGTGGATGTGTCTGTGTCCTACTCTCATTTTATATTGGATTAGGACCTACTCATTTTACCTTAATTATCTTTTTAAAGACCCTGTCTTGCTGGGCACCCAGTGCCGGTGGTAGCTCATGCCTGTAATCCCAGCTATTCAGCAGGCAGAGATCAGGAGGGTCCCAATGCAGTACAGGGGCTTGAACTCTGGGCCTCACACTTTCTAGGTAGGCAAGCACTCTTACAGCTTGAGCCACTCCACAGTCCTTTTTTGTGATTTTTTTCAAGATAGAGTCTCCCAAACTCTTTGCCCAGGACTGGCTTCAAACTGCTATCCTCCTGATCTCTGCCTCCTTAGTAACTAGTAGCTAGGTGTGAGCCATCAGCGCCCGGCTCCTATTGATTTTTCCTAGGGTAAAGATGGTACAGGAAAGGATAGGACTACTTTTAGGTTCTCTAGGACTTGAACCCTGGGAAATGAGCAGCACCTTCCAGCCAAGACCTGTGTTGTGCTTCGCATCTGCACATAGGCACACAACACACTTCCAACTGCTGTCAGGTGCAGGTGTGTGATGTACTGTGACAAAGCAACTTCATCCATGTGGCTCCTGGTTTCCATCCCTCTTCTTCTGTGTTCTTGCTTTCTGCCTCATAGCCTCTGTTCTACACCAGTCTCTCATTGTCCCATGTGGGTTTCTGCAGGGCTTCTGAATGGATCTCCCTGCCTTTTCCCTCTAAACAATCTTATGTATGAAGGACAGATTAACCTTCCACGTTTGGCTCCTCTTTTTTGTTTTTTGGCTGTATTGGGGTTTGAACTTAGAGATTTGTGTTTAGTAGGCAAGTGCTCTACCACTTGAGCCATGACTCCAGCACCTTAAGATTAGTTCCCCCCACCCTTCCCCTGGGTACCTGTAATCCTAGCTACTCAGGAGGCAGAAATCAGTAGGATTGAGGTTTAAAGCTAGCCCTGAATAAATAGTTCATGAGACTCTATCTCTAAAATAACCAACACAAAAACTAACAAATTAGTTTTTTTGTTTTTTTTTTTTGTGGTATGGGGTTTGAACTCAGGACCTTGTTCTTGCTAGGCAGGCACTCTACCACTTGAGCCACGCCTCCAGCCTATTTGGCTCCTCCTTAGCCAGAAAGTCCTCTCTTTTCTGACACCAGCTTTTCTGCCTCTGATATTTGTTCATGCAGTTTCCCCAAACTTTAAGGCCTCTTCCCTCTGCGCTGCTCAGTTAAGTCCCCAGACGTGGCCTGTACAGCTCTGCAAGATCCTGCCTTCCTAGCAGACCTCATCCTGTGTTTCCTCCTCTTTCTTCAACAGGTTCCAGCCACATTGCTATTTCTTTCTTTCTTTCTTTTTGTGGTATGGCAGGTGTTCTACCACTTGACCCACTCCACCAGGCCCACATCGCTCTTCCTACCCCACGGCCCATGAACCGGCTGTTTCCTCAGAGTGGAACAGTTTTTCTCTAACTTAAGAGTTTTGCAACCTAGAACTATTGACATTTTGGATCAAGTAATCATCACGGGGATCTGTCTGTTGCCTCAGTTCAGCTATGTCCTTGGCTTCTACTGATTGAATGATTGCTCAGTCATACCTCACCTGCAGTTGTAACAAACCAAAATGTGTCCACATATTGCCAAATGTCCCACACGGACAAAATTGGCCCTTGGTTAAGAAATACTGCCTTAGATCCTCCTGTGGATAATTCCTTTCGGTCCTTCAAATTTAAGCTTAAGAGTTGCTTTTCACACACTGGGGATGGTGCTGTGTGCTTGTAATCCCAGCTACTCAGGAGGTGGAGGCAGGAGGATTAGGAGTTCCAGGCCAGCCTAGGAGACCTTGTCTCAAAAACAAAATGAAAACAAAAGGGCTGGAGAGATGGCTCCCAAGCAGTAGAGCATTTGCAAATGCAAGGCCCTGGGTTCAAGCTCTAGTTTTTTGGGGAAAAAATTGTTTCTTTTTCAGAGATCTTTCTAAACCACCCTTCTTAAAATTTCCCCACACCTTTAGCATCATTTAATCTTGTTTCTTTTGCCTTTTGTTCTGATATGAAATGCATTTTATTGATTTGCTTGCTTCCCTTCTTTAGAATGTCAGTTCTGAGAACAGGAACTTCTGAGAGCAGGAACCATGTTTTTTGGTTCACTGCTCTGTCTCCTTCCTGTGTCTTCAGTAGTGCATGGCATAGAGTAGAAGCTCAAATGTCTGTTGAATAAGTGACTGCGCCCTCCTCTGCTGTCCAGTTTGTGTTTTCCATTTACCACTATCCCTAGGTACCCATTCTTCTAACCTAACCCAGCACTGATTGTCCCTGACGTACTTGTGGATGTCTTTATACATTTGTCCTGTTTGCTCCTCTGGATTTTAGGGAGCAGTTGTGATATCATTCATTTAGTCACTCATCCACCTCACAAATATATTTTAGTAGGGGCTACTGTTCTGGATGCTGGTGATACAACAATATTTTGTTTTCCTCATGTAAGACACAGTCTTTAAGCCCACAGGGTCTTCAATCTAACTGGAGAAGCAAACAAGTCAGTAGGTAGGGACATCCAGGGTGATGAATGTCTCAAGAAGACTGCCACTTCAGTATGTGGAAGCACTAGAAAGGGTTCCTTTCTAGTCACTGTCATCTGTACAAGTGGCACCAGTGCCTAGATCTGAAGTTTGAGCAGTCTGGTGAAGTGGGGGTCACATGTGGGAGATGAGGTGGAAGAGTTCTAAACTTAGAGGAATAGTACATGCAAAGGCCTGGAGGCAAGAGGAAAATTTTTAGGTATTAGGAAATAGTTCATTGTGTCTGCAACATTGAGCAGGAATAGAAGTGGGACCAGAGATGAGGCTGAGGAGGAGAAAATACTAGTAGAAACTGGGGCCTATATCATATGGGATTTTATAAATCAAGCCTACTGTTGGGTCTTTATTGTATACCTCTGCATTATTTTTTCATTCATAAACATAAGATGCTTAAAAAATAAATAGCAAGTGATATTCAAATATGAGAGTGGTATTCTTTTATTACAATAGTAAGTATACATAATAAAATTATTTTTTTAATAAAAATTACTATTTTATAAAAATTATGTATACTTATATAATTATAAGTACATTCACAATTGTGCAATCATCATCTCTATCCAGTACTTTTTCATCATCTAAAACAGAAACTCTGTCCTTTGGACAATAGCTCTTCATTCCCTCCTCTCAGACCTTGGAAATCTCTATTCTGTTCTCCATCTCCTTGAATTTGCCTATTCCAGGTACCTCATATAAGTGGAATCATACGAATCTGTCCCGTTGGGTCTGGCTTATGTCATTTAGTGTAATATTTTTTAGGTTCATCTCTACAGTAGCATATCAATTTCAAAAGCTGAATAATATTCTATTATATGTGTAAATCACATGTTTATTTCACATGCTTTTGAACATCTATATCAAAGGTACTTGATAGACTTTTAATGATGGTGATCTACCTGTCTCTGTGGCTGGAGAGAGAGGCGTAGGCTATGAATTTCACTTGCTGTCACACATGGTTGTGAAGTATTTACAGTGTGCAATGTCTATTTAGGATCCTCTTCTTTCATTTGGTTAGTATTAAATCCAAGGCTTGCTGTAGATAAGGAGAAGGGTTTAACTTTATCGTTCCAATGTCTTCTGTGTTTCTGTTTCATGTTTGGAACTCTCACTTTTTTAGGCCTCAGAGGAGTTTCCCTGACAAAAGTGTGATGGAGCATACTGATAGATTTCCAAAAGTAAGTTGCAAATGAAAAAGGCACCTCTTTGGGCTGGAGGCGTGGCTCAAGTGTAGAGTGCCTGCCTAGCAACCATGAGACCTGAGTTCAAACCCCAAAATCACCAAAAAAAAAAAAAAAAAAAAAGGTACTACCTCCACATTTTGTCTTTACTAGTAGGAAGAAAATAGTTTGCCTTTAACATTATTCTTCAAAAACACTATACTCTGAATAATAATGATGATAATAACTGTCTTGTATTGGATCCTTACTCTATACTAAGGTCCATACTAAGGGCTTCATATGCTGTATTGTTTTCAGAAATCCCAGGCACAAGTGGGATTGATTTGTGGTGGTTTGATATAGGTGAGAATTTTCTGCCCTCTGTGTAGAGCATGTTTAGCTTCTAAGTAAACATTGTTATCTCATAGTCAGGAAAATGAAAGTGCTGGAATATCAGAACTAAAATAATGGGCCTTAAGATCATCTGGTCTGATAGTCTTCAAACTTTAAGAACTAAAATTCATGGTAAGAAATAGATTTTACAGCAAAGGATCATGGGATAATCTTCACCCTGACTGTGGGGGAGGTAATCTGATATTTTCTGTCCTATTCTGTTTTACTCTATTTCATTTTTAAACAGGTAGCTGTGACTCACAAAATTTGATTTGATGACCTATAAATAAGTTGCAGTTGCAATTCAAAGAACATTACTGTGTTCTATGTCATACATCGTACAGATAAGGAAACTCAGGTTCATATGAGAAATGATTTGCTAAGGTGTGTGTCTAATAGACGTAGAGCTAAATTACATCTTTAGGAAGAAAGCCTTTCCTACTTACCTACAGTAAAGAAAGATTTACTATTGTTTGCAGTCCTATTGGAGGGCTTTTATTTTTTCATGAACTGAGTCTCTGTCCAATACCATGTGGTAGAGAATGTAAGGGACTAAGAGAGGGCAGATGGGATTGAATGATGAATGGACAAGTCACTTTGCCTCCTTGATCTCTTTAGGTTACATTTTTTTTAACTAATTATTTGCAAAGGTACATATGAAGATGATTCTAAATTCAAAAGGCAATAAAATGTCTCTTTTGTTTTCCCCAAGCCAAATCAGTTCCTTTTAGCAAGAGCAACCTTATTTTTAACCACTTTGTGGGTTTTTTGGGGGGTTTTTTTGGTACATTTTATTAGGAATAGGGACTAAATGATTTACAAGGTTTCCTTGAAACCCTGAGTGTTGTAGGATCCTAAATAGCTACACGTGAGAAGAACTAACACTTGAACTTTCGTATAGATGTCTATAATTATAGACAGGCTATAAATAAAAGTAGAAAACTTGGTTCTGTCTCCATCCATTCTCTCCCCGCTCCCAAAATGCTGACTGATTACCTGCAGGGGACCTAAGTCTTTGGAGTGGAGTGGGCAGCATGAGTTGTTTCCCAGGTAAGCCCCAAGGTACCTTCATGTGGAATGGGGTTGGGAGTTAGCAGATCCATCCGTAATGTCACAGGGAAGCAGGTAGGGGAGGAGATTTTTTTTTTTTTTTTTTTGGCGGCACTGGGATTTGAACTCGGCCTCATGCTGGCTAATTAGATGCTTTTACTGCTTGAGCCATTCCACCAACCAAAGAGTTTTTGTTTAAATATGCTGGCTCTTGCAGTGTTTGTACTGACAACTGATGTAGTAGGCTGTTTGGGAGAATATTATGGTGATTTGGGGATTGGAAATGTCTTTTTGCTATTTTCTTTTTTTAGCCTGTGCTAATTGTAAAAAGGGTTTCATTGTGGTATTTCTATATGTGCATATAATGTACTTTGATCAAATTCATCCTCTTTGTTACTCTTCCTTATCCCCTCTCCTCCTTTTTTAAAACAATTTTAACTAGTTTCACTATACTATTTTCATAAACGCTTATGAAATACTTCAATTAATTTACCCTCCACCCTATTTTTTTTTTTTGGTGGTACTGGGTTTTGAACTCATGGCTTTCTGCTTGCTAAGAAGGCGCTTTACCACTTGAACCATTCTGCTAACCCTCTACCCTATTTTTTATCGCTTTTGAGCCACTAAACTTTTTGATTAGAATAATCTGGTCCTTAGTGCCAGCAGGAGCCCAATACTTCAAGCCATCTCTTTGTGGCTTTCTCTTAGCTTTCAGTGTTGAATTTGAATGAGACACAACTACCTTGCTCTGAAGATGTCAGAAATATGGTTGTAATCTGGATCCCAGAAAAAACGGAGAAGAGTATGAGGTGAGTATTGCATCTAGAACTTGAAGATTCTGTAAATTCTGTAAATTCCTACAGTCCTCAGCAAGCCTCCTTTTTGTGATCTCCCTTTTAAGTATCTCATTACAAGTAGCAGGAGGCCAAGCAAAGAGGTGGGCATTGTCTCTTGCTTCTGCCTCTGAAATTCTACACTGAAATTCTGTTTTAAAGCACTTTGAGATTCATGCTGTGAGACTTCTCTATATCAAATTCTACATGGCAGTAAATAGCATATAAGTCAGGGCCCAATTTATTAGTGAGATTTGATTAAGTCATAAATGCTCGCTATTCATTTTTTAAAATTAGCCCTCAGCAACTTGTGAAAGAGCTCTTGGTAAAGCATATGAACTGTGCTCTCTACCCCAAGGCTAGAACAGTGGTGCAAAAAGAATAACTTGTAGGACTTGTATATAAAGCAGAGTGTGACAGAGGTCATTTGGCAAAGGCCCAAAGGCTTACTAGTATTGACAACCATGGGGAAAGTTTTTTTTGATGACTGCTGAGGCTTTCATATTCTTGTGAAGTGGCTGAATTTCTTCTTAGTCAGCATCTTACTGATGTCAACCTCAAGAATTTTTCTTTTTACAAAATCAAACTGGTAAATGCTTCTTTAAGTATGCATTTTTGTCTGTATACACATAGTATCAACAACAAAACCTGTAGGAATTTATGTTCCTTTATCTAAAAGAAACCCAGAGGTAGGCGGGTCATGGCTAGTATGTCAGCTCTATGAGATAATCTGTGGGTTTTTTGTTTGTTTTTGTTTTGGGAGTATTGGAGTCCGAACTCAGGGCTTCATGCCTGCCAGGCAGGTGTTCTACTGCTTGAGCCACACCACCAGCCCAATCACACTTTATTATTGTTATTTTTTTGGTGGTACTGTTGCTTGAACTCAGGATCTTATGCTACCTGGGCAGGTGCTCTACTACTTGAGTCACTCCCTCCAGCCCTTCTGTGAGATAACCTGAAACCAGGGCTAATTCTAGTTTTCCAGGCCATCCCCCTTAGTCTGTGACTTCCATCTTCTAAAGTGCTTCATCGGTGTTTTTAAACTCCAAGTTGGCTGCTAGAGCTCCAGTTATCATTTCCATTTCCCAAGCAAGAAGGAGAAGAGGCTTGCACTTCACAGGCAGCCTACCACTTGAGGCACGTCCTTAGTCCTTTTGCTTATATTTTTTATTTATATATTTATTTTTTTGCAGTACTGGGGCTTGAACTCAGGGCCTACACCTTGAGCCACTCCACCAGCTCTTTTTGTGATGGGATTTTTTCGAGATAGCGTCTTGCAAACTGTTTGCCCTGGCTGGCTTCGAACCATGATCCTCCTGATCTCTGCCTCTTGAGTAGCTAGGATTATAGGTGTGAGTCACCAGTGCCCAGTATTTGCTTTTAGTTTGTTTTTCAGGTGGGGTCTCATACTTTTGCCCAGGCTGACTTTGACCTCAATCGAGCCTTTTGTCTCTGCCTCCCAACAGGTGTGTGCCATTATGCCCGACTTGTTTTTTAGACAGAGCCTTACTAACTTTTGCTTGGGCTGTCTGTCCTTGAACCATGATCCTCCTACCTTTGCCTTCCAAGTAGCTGGGAATACAGGTCTGCACCACCATGACTGCCAAAAAAAAAAAGTGCTTTTTGATTATCTCCTCTGGGCTAAGCAGCAAGGATCCAGTGAGGAATGAATAGACTTGGTCCCTGTCCTCCTAGGGCCATATGGAGGGGTCAGACATTACAAACATAACCACACCTAAGTGTATAATTTCTAATTTGAATTCATACTGTGAAAATAAATTCAGAGAGAATGTTGGGGAACAAAATTTAGATGTGAGGGTGAGGAAGTCTTTCCAGCAGCAGGTATCTGGGTAGCAGGTACTGTTGGCGTCCAACCCAGCCATCCTTGAGTACTAATTAGAGATAGGAATCTCCATGGTCATTTTTCACAAATACACTTAGTGCTTCTGCTTAAGATGTCTGGGAGGAAGTCATGGTCATTCTTGTTTCAAGCTCAGCTGAGAAGACACCTACTTTTTGGCATGGGAAGAAGAGAAGAAAGAAATTGAAAGGGGTGAGTTCAATATTTTGCCTAAATGTTTGTGATACTACTCTGAAGGGCTTATTTTTGTTTTCCTTTTAGGTCTCCCCACCCCACCCCTACCCCCTATAAATGAAAAAAATCTGCAAATGAAATCCCTCCTTTAGAAATAATTACTGAGCCTCTTCAGGTTCCCTTTCCTTTTCTGCTCCCTGTAAGAAGGTGAAGAGCACCTTGAAGAGATGAGAGGAGAAACCATTGGATATTCAGGGGGACTTTTTGATCAGTTGAAAACTAATCCTCAGTGTGATGGGAGAGAATTCCAATGGACTAAAAGTTTTAAGACCTGGACTTCCAACTCTAAATTCTGCCATTTATAGGTAACTGTGAGCTCAGATAAGTCATCAGACTACTATATTCATGAGAGAAATGTCTTGTTCCACTTCATTCATTATGGAATCCACCCACCTGCTAGCCCTATGCTTGGCGTATAGATGATACCAGTTAGTTTGTTGAGTGAATAAACAAATGACCTCTCTGGAAAAACAAAACAAAACGATTTCTGTGTGGTCTGAATACAGCAATAGGAATGGGAACCTGAGAAGAGGAAATAGGGTGGCCCTTGGGGTCAAGAGGATTTAGGAATGACTGGAGTGGGTCTGGAGCAAGTTTGCGCGTCAGGGTAGAACGTTGGGGAGAAACTTGAAGAGAGTGGTTTGGAGCATTCTTTGCAATGTTTCTCTTCCAGGAAAGTAAGCCACCTCTGTGTCTCCCTGGAAGGCAGTACACAGACACACGCTTGGAAACTCCAGGAGTGGTGGTGCCTCCCCCATCTCCAGTACACTTTTTTGAGCAGTCGAGTTCGGAATCTGTCCCGGTCTGGGCCCATGCTGACTCACTACCTCAGGATCTGCTGAAGGAGTGGTGAGTGTCATGAGGCTGGGAGAATCGAGTCCTGCTCTTCACTAAAGCTGGTATGGGTCTAAGCAGTTGCTCTTTTTGAGTAGGGCAGGGAATGAGCTGTCATCCAACTTGTTTACTGAATTCTTAGACCTACCAACAGGTAGGGATGACAGTCATGGTCAGTCAAGCACTTACCATCTGCCAGGCCCTGGGCTAAGCACATTATATGAACTCTCATTTAATCCCTCACCAGGAGGTAGCACTATTCTGTTTTGTTTTTGTAGCTGAATTATGGATAAAGGGAAGGCAGCAGGGTGTGTATAATTTGGAGAGTGACATCCTTTAAATTTCATATTGAAACTTAACTGTGAATTTCGATAATTTAGCCTCTTTCAGCTTCAATATTGTAAGGGGTTTTAAGGGCTTAGAGATACAAAACACACAAGCCTGACATAGAGTAAATGCTTAATAAACCCACTGTGGTTACCATGGCTGCATTGCAAAGGTGTTTCTGGATGAACACTGTGGGAATAAGCCTTTCTGGATACAAAGTGAAATTTCTTCAGATTTGGAGTCCTTTTCATCTTTCTCATCAGCTACACTCTCTAGGAAGAGCTGTTCTTGACTGTCTGGCTGTCTCTGTTGTCTTCAGCCTTTTGCCAGATGGAGGAAATAATGTGCCCTGTGCAGAGATGAAGCTACAGTTATCTGTGATGAAAAGGAATCTTCCTCTGGAAAAGAACCGTCCTGACAGTGAAATTTCTTCTAAGATGTTTCTAACTATACAACGCCTCACCTTGCAAGTAAGAGCCAGGAAATCTCAGAGGAAGAGGCCTACATGAACATCCAAACCCATTTAAAAGCCAAAAGTTAGTCCCTCTTTCTACTCTGCCCTGCTCTCTGGACACAGGCTCCACAGAAGGATGGGCTGTGTGTAGGTCAAAGCAATGAAGAAAAGGAGGGAGAAAAGCAGTATTTCCACTTCTTCTGCACTTCATTTCCCACACCTTTCCTTTCCTCCACAGCCCCTGGTACAATGCTGCAAAACACTGGGTTCCCAACATGTGCTTGTTGACTGGATGAATAAATGCTTTTGGGGAAGGGAAAGGCCCACAGAAGAGCTTTTCTTCTTTTCCTTCAGACACCATCATTGCGCTATCCTGAGGGTGTGAAGAAATTGCACTATAACCTGAAGAGAGATGGTAATTTTGGCGGTACTGGTGGATTTACAGTCGCCTTCCCCCAGCCCACATTTCTCTTACTTTAACTTGGTCCCCATTTAGTTAGGTTTGTTGTCACAGTCCTATAGGGTGACAAGTAGAACTCAGGAAACTCCAGTGTCAGGAAGCAGTCCCCACTCCCACCCCCACCCCCCCACGGTCTGGTCCTGACCATTGCAGGAGAGCCACCTTAGTAGGGCAGGTCACAGCAGGCAGGAGGCTGTGGGGCCCTCAGTGGGAAGAGGTCTGAGCTGGCCCTCTGGTCACCAGGTTCCAGGAAGCAGCAGCAGTGGCAGCAGCAGCGCCAGCAGCAGCAGCAGCAGCAGCAGCTGAGGAAGATGAAAACCACAGCTAAGAAACAGGTAGAACAGCAATGAGGGAAGCCTGAGGACTCACTGGGCGTGGGAGAAGTGGGTGCAGCCCAGGATGGGAAGGAATACCTGAGCAGTGGGATTCTTCCTGTCTGTGTATGGATAGAACATTCCTATCTAGTGTAATGTTAAGTTCCTTCTTTTCAATTCTTTTAGCAAAAGCTTTCTTTACTTTCAAAGTCCTCCTCATGTGAGCTTCAGGAGGCTAGAAAGAAATCCAAGAGTGATCCAGAGAGCCAGAAATCTTCATGTAAGCATTCACTTGCCATCATCTATAACCCTGTATATGCTAAGGAGACATGTAAGGGGCCTGTGCTTGGTTAAGTCATAGAATTCCAGGGTGTAGCTGAGGGAAGGAAAAGTCAAACATGCCTATGTCATTTTGGAGACCTGCCTTTGTCGGGTACTTGGAATTCTTCTGGAAATGCTCGGTCTGGACGGCTGGCCTACCATGTATTACCACCAAAGAGTTACTAAGCAAGCAAGTGGACCGTATCTGCTTCACATGAGCATTTGAGAGATGACTGCAAGTGTGAGTCAGTCATGTTTTCTTCAGGACCTACCTTAGAAAAAACAGAGTGGGAGCCAAGCATGGTGGCATATGCCTATAATCTCAGTACTCAGGAGGCTGAGGCAGGAGGATCTCAAGATCAAGGCCAGCCTGGGCTACATAGGAAGACCCTGTCTCAAGAAATAAAACAAACAAACAAACAAAAAAAGGAAAACAAAGAATGGTTTGAGGATCAAACGTAGGAGCAAGCTCAGGTTATGGAAGAGAAGAATCCCTGAGGCCTCATTGGCCAATAGGGCAGGGGAGAACTTGGGCCCCTCACTAGAGCCTCAGAATGGTCCTGAGGAAGCAGAGCTCCAGGATCCCCTGGCTTCCCCACCATGAGCTTGACCGTTCAGGAGCTCAGGTTGAAATCGGCACTTTGCGTAGCCCCATCCAGGCAGCAGCCAGTTCTCAACAGGCAGTCCTTTCCTTCCAGTGTTCATGCTGGAGGCCAGAGTAATACCTTCCCTTTTAGAGCCCCTATTTTGCCTGAGCTGAGGGATGCACTTAGCCCTATCCTCTGCCATTTCTCAGCTTCAATGCAGAGTGAGGGGGGTGCTAAATCTTGCAAGACCTCCTCTCTGCTCAGACTGCATGTTGCTGGCCTTAATGTGAAAACTACTGTTTAGCCATCAGAATTGACTCAGCAGTCCTGGGGCCCGGGGAGGGATCTCTCTGGTGAGGTGTTCCTGAAAATGATGAACTCAGGGCCTCATGCTTGCTAGGAAAGCACTCTATCACTTGAACCACTCTGTGCTAGCTGTTTCCTATGCTGGGTATTTTTGAGATAGTGTCTTTCGAGCTATTTGTTGGGGATGGTCCTCCCGATCTCTGCCACCTGCTTAGCTAGGATTACAGGCATGAGCCTCCAGTGCTTTCGGATACCAACAATGTCCTCTAATTTGAAGATATAAGAAATGTCCTGACTTTCACATGGCAGGTAGAAGAATCATGGCCCAGGGTGGGAGGTAACTTGTCTGAGGCTAGCACCTCATCCAGGATGATCGCAACCATTCCCTCAATTCCATTCTGCTGCCTTTTGTGTTTCTCCTGATGCTTCCCTTTTGAGTTATGTTCTTAGAGAGATGGCCTGAGCTCCCTGAGTTGAGAAGGGATTCACAGAAGAGATGACTTTTGAATTGGATCCTGTGAGAATTTTCTTGATATGGAAAAGAATTCCTGGAAGTGGGAATAGCTTGTGCAGAGGCATCTTGGAGGAACTTGGCTGCTCAGACAGCATGGCTGTGGGTATTTAAGGGAGAGTGAGAGACCAGGACAATCAGGTAGAAAGGGCCTTGTATAAACTGCATAGAGGGCTAACCTTTCTACCCTTACTACAGCCAGCTGAGAAGGTTTGAAAACACCCCAGACCTTTTAGATCAGAATTCCTGGTACTGGGCACCAGGCCCCAGTGCTTCCAGGTGTGCAGCTAAGGTGAGACCCAGTGCTGGCAGGCAGCCAACCAAAGTGTATCTTTTAGCATAATACTGCTGGTGGCAGCTTGGAAGATGTTTGCTTAGAGGAGGGAAGTTTGAGAAAGGAAAGAAAGTGCATTTAGGGACTAGTTGGGGAAACAGCTGGTACAAAAGAAATGTAAAGCCAAAACCTTTTGTCAGAAGCCAATATGGGTACATTAGGGATGGCACAAGAAGGTGAGTCATGTTCTGACAAGAGGAGTTGCCATGAACTGAAAGATAGAGTTCTGGTTTCTTTTGTAGCCGTTATGTGTAGGTGTTATTTTGTAATAGATGTGGTTATAGTCCTAAGTAAGTAGAATCACAAATAGAACTCAGAAGGCCTTATAACAGTGTTTACATATATCCAAACATCACATGGAGCCCCATGAATAGGTACAGTGTCTCTGTGTCAATTAAAATAATAATAATAATAATAATAATAATAAGAGAACACAACAACAAAAGAATTCAAAAGGCTATCTCCTTTTCATCTGCCATTGGGGTCTTGTCCTAGACAGGGATTCTCTTGTAGACTAGGGATCAACTAGCAGCCCAACAATGGTATACAAAGTGCCAGTAAGAGGAGCATTGAATTGACTTTGTGGTTACTAGGTCAGTCAACTCTGTCGGTTTCAGAAAGTGATGTGAAGTTGGTGGAGATGGAAGCCATCTCAAAGCAGGTGAGTGTGTATCAGGGCCTCTGGTAGGGCCCAGGTTTAATTACCTCTTACTGTGTAACAAACCACCCCAAAGTACAAGCCATAGTAATTTGTCATTTCTGCTGAATCTGTGGGTCAGCTGGACAATCATTCTGATCCTGCTTGAGGTCACTCAGTGATGCTGGATGGGGATTGTGGTTTGTTTGAGTTTCATAGCTTAGTAGTCACTTTCTTCTTTCTCTCTCTCTCTTTGGTGGTACTGGGGTTTGAACTCTGGGCCTCATGTTTGCTAGGCAGGTGCTCTACCACTTGAGCCACTCTGCTAGTAGTAGACACTTTCTTAAGTGATGGGCCTGGAACAGAATAAGTGTCACTTCTCCCATCTTTTGTTGGTCAAGGAGGTCACAGTTCAGACCAGATCCACAGGTCTATATATTTTTTTGTGGCACTGGGATTTGAACTCAGGGCTTCATGCTTGCTAGGCAGGTGCTCTACCACTTAAGCCATGCTTCCAGTCCTTTTTGCTCTGGTTGTTTTTGAGATAGGGTCTTGCTTTTTGCCTGGGCTAGCCAATCCTCCCCATACCGAGTAGCTTAGGATGACAGGTTTGTCACCATACCCAGCTATTGGTTGAGATGGGATCTTGTGACTACCCCCCTCCCCATTGTCCTCCAACCAAGAGCCTCCTTATTTCTACCTCCTGGGTAGCTAGGATTACAGGGATGAGCCACTGGTGCTTGGCTAGATTGTACCTCTTTTTCTTTTCTTTTCTTTTTTTTTTTTTTTTGTGGTACTGGGACTTAAACTCAGATCCTACACCTTGAGCCACTCCATCAGCCCTTTTTTGTGTAGGGCTTTTTTTAGAGATAGGGTCTCATAAACTATTTGCCTGGGCTGGCTTCAAACCAAGATCTTCCTGATCTCTGCCTCCTGAGTAGCTAGGATTATAGGTGTGAGCTACTGGTGCCCAGCTAGACTGCACCTTTTGATGAGGGGAGCAGCATATGTATCCAAAAATGTGGGGAGTTTTTGGCAGCTTGTTTAGAGGTGGTCTGCCCTTATTTGATTTCTGGGAATGGGGGAGTAGTGGGTTCTGTCTTCATCTGGACAGCTGGGATGGCAAAGAATGTATGATATAAACTTGTCTTCAGTCCCAGGAGGTGCGTCTTTGTCCTGTCTTAGGTATTAATTTCTCCAAGAAAAATATGTTCTAGAAAATTCTTTAGTTTACTAAGATCTTAAGTCCCATTTCCTTATTCCTACCCCAATGAATTTTAGGGTGTCATAACGCAATCAGTGATGGATGACTTTGACAACTACCTGGCTTTGCTCTCCAGTCTGGAAAGTAAGTCATTAGGGTGGAGGAGCCTTAGTAAGTGACTAAGGATAGGGAGAGCTGAACCTGTATTAATCAGGTAGCATAGCTCTCTGGAGAGACAGTCCTCATTCTTCAGAGGGGTCCCAAGGATATCCAGCCTTTCCTTTTCTGTATTCTACTTGTCAGTTATTTGGGGAAGGCTATAGGTACAATTAACGGCTGAGTCTTCTTTTAGGTACTGACAAATCTGAGACAGAATTCTCTTACAACGAAGCTAGTCTTCCAGAGGATGCTACGTTGGGAGCCTCAGCTGCTGTCCACAAGAAGGCCCTCAAAAACTTTTCAGAAAGTATGGCGAAAATAGGCTGGAACCCTGAGCTCAAACTGCTAAGGATTCTTCAGGCTACTGCTGATGAGGAAGAGGAAAACCATCCATCAGGGGCTCAGAGTGTGGAGTCTCTGGAACTATAGGCCCAGGGCATCACTTGGGCAACCTTATCCAGAGCATCCTGAGGGCAGTGGCCTTTGACATAGGCAGAATTGAGAGGAGACTCCTGTTCTCTGGAGCCTTCACCAGGCCTGCGCTTACTCTTCATTCACTGTACTGCCCTCTAAAATAAGTGAGTGAGAAAGAGCACCACCCTTTTTAAATATAGGTGACTTCTCCATTAGGGTTTGAATAATTTTAATGATTAAACTAAACGCTTCTCAATCAAAAGACTCATTCTCTGTTTCTGGGAGGAGGGGAGAGGGGAGGGTCACTTTTATCTCTTCTATAAAGTTCTGAAATGTTTTTAGTTGTGGGAAGCTGGATTTGGCCTGTGGGAACCCCCATAGGAGGTTACTCTCATTTCCTGGACATGGTTTCTTTTGGAGGTGGGGTCCACGGCATTACCAGATAGTATTCATTGTGTCCCATGTATGTGGCACTGGACTTAAATTAACCTGGAAGAGCTAATGCTCCTGCTTCTAAGGCACTGAGCCTACAGGCAAGTTTTAATGATGCTAATGAAGACTCAGAATACCTAAGTCTCAGGAGCCCGCTGACTTGGTTTTTGGACCATCATCCTCCTATCTATGGTCTTCTGTATAACTGGGAGAACAGGCATGGTCTATCATGCCTGGTTTATTGAATATGACCTTGAACCACAAGCCTCTGGATCGCTGCCTCTCGAGTAGTTGGGATTACAGGCATGAGCCACCATGCCTGGCTTAAAAACTTTTAACATAGTAAAATTTCAAGTTTACATAAAAGTAAAGAGTAATACATGGTATCTAGGACATGGTCAGGAAAAGCATTGGCTTGGGCTCCATGCTTGAGGAAGACCTGTACTGGCTTTCTTCTGGCCATGTTGCTCCTCATGAGAAGTCTGAAGACCAAGAGCATGTATGCCATCTTGGAGTCTGTATCTCCTGTTTTGCATTTTGCACCTGACACCTGGAATTCACTACCCAAATGGGCTCATGCCTGCTTCCATGGCCTGTGTAGGACTCTTTCCTGGGTCCAGCCACCCAAAGGGTGGTCTGCCCTATCAGTGTGTGCACTGCTAAGTTTGAAGTAGCCAGAGAGAGGAGTCCAGAGCTTGAACTTGGGGACTAATGTATCTGCATGTATGAGTTTTCCTGTTAAGAGTGGGAGCTGGGATGAGAAGGGTAGGCCATGGACTGTGGCTGCTTCTTATCATGCTATACATCAGGTAGGGGCCTCAAGGAATCTGAATTCTGAATGAACCTGGCCTTCTGGGTCATAAGAGTGTACTGGTAAAGGTAGGAGGATAGAGTATGTTTTCTTTAACAATTTTATAGTTTGATTTATAGTTTTTAAATGTTTTGAAATGGTTAGTAGATCTGGCTTTGTACTCTTAACCTGTGTCCTGCAAAAGTTAGGTTTGGGCCTGCACATAACCTTTGTCTGGGAGAAATTTTAAGGAGGGAGAATTTAACCCCACAGCTTAGCCAGGGAAAGGTCAACCAGGGCCCTTCTATTCTTGGTGGTACCATGCCCAAAGTAGAGCCTTCTTCCATAGTGGGAGGCTAGGTGGAAGAAGGGAACCCCCACTTCCATCGGCTGTACTCCCCTGAAACCTAGTCTTGGCAACAGGTAGCTGAGAGTTGGCATCCTGTTCCTCCTGTGAAGACAGCCCTGTGACTTGGAGTGGAGCAGAAACATCCCTGTGTTCTTGGCTGTAGCAGGCTGGAGTACGGTTTCTGTCTCACGTAGGGATTGGCAGAGAGAGCATGGGTTGTGGTTCACATACCACAAACTCTCAGAAATTCTTACTGAATTTTTGTAGATTTTCCTGAACAAATGTTTCTTCACTTTCTGTATGCCCTTACAACCATTCCCAGAGACTGTAAATGCTTTATTGTTTTAAGTGAGTTTTAGCAGTTTTCACTGGAGAACTACCACTGGGGAGTTTCAAGTCTCCATAGATTTGAATTTACAAATCTGTGATACTACAATAGGAGCTCCTCACATGGTGATACCACAGTTAGAGCTCAGACTGGGTTTGATATCTTTCTTTAAAGAGAAACTTTTCCCTCATTAGTTGTTTGTATGTCCTAAGTACAGGTTGTACAGGAAGGGCAGATTAAACATGATCTCACAACAGACCAAATTAGAAAGCCAAGTATGCCTCCCCGGTCCTCTTTTCCAAGCTAAATCAAAATTATATGACATCATTTGTGTTACTCGTCTGAACTATAATTAGCTGAATCTTTGTGGTGAGAAGAATCAAAGAGGTGTTATGTGGGATGTTTTCCTGAAAATAACCATTTCTGAAATTTACATTGCAGAATGACTTCTATAGGCTGGCTTAAAAACTTTCAACTTTTTTTCACTTCTCCTTAGCCTATCTTTGACCTGTTCACAGGCATAAACTTAGTTTCTAGGAGTCAGTAGTGGCATGAGGATGGGATGGGGTGTATCTTTCATTTGCTATTTTATCTGAACATTCAGGCACAGAAGAGGAGTTCTTAACTGTTTTATAACTAGCTCAGCTTATTGTTTATTTGCTGAAGCAACTCTCAAAAATTGGAGTATTCTTTTAAGTCCTGCTGATGAGTGCAAAGTTGCCTTTTGAATCATGAAATATTTTGAGTATTTTGAGTAAGAAGATATTTGCTATCTGAACACAGGCCTCTGCTTCTGTTTTCAAACATTCGCAGGCTGGAACTTTATTCACCCTTGCCATGCCAATTGCTCAGAGCTGAATAATCACAAACAGAACTTTGGGAAACATAACATATATAGCATATTAGTTTTCATTGTCCTGTATGCCCACTATTTTGCTCCATTCTCTGGCCAACTTTATAGATTGATGTCAGTTGTCTCCATTTTATAGATTAGGCTCAGAATTCCGGACTGATGATGGATGGCCCAGTGGGGCCTTTGAATGAATCAGAAAAAGGCATTCTTTCAGACCCTTGACCACCATTGGCTGAAATTTTTTCTTTTTATCTTTTTTTTTCAGTATGAAGATTAAACCTAGGGCCAAGTCCTCTACCTCTGGAATCACACCTCCAGCCCCGAAAAATTTTATCCTAATGAATCTACAAAGCTGTAATGATTTCAGTGTGAGCAGTACCCCTTGAGTTGATCTACCACCTTTTCAATGCACCTAGTGGCCCTGCTAGAAAGGTTCAGTCAAAGGCCAGCAAGGAAAGGGGCTTAGCACCTGAGTCTTCTCTGTCTTTGTGCTTTATATATGGATCCCTCTTTAACTCCCCATTTTTAAATGTAAGCTGAGACAGGACACCCTTAATCAGAAAGGAAGGATGAAGCTATGTAGACAAGAACTGACTAATGGGGAGGAGCCCTCACAGATCCTTGGCCCTGCCTGCCAGTGTTCTAATAGAGGAGACAGGTAACTGTTGCTAACTGCTATGTCCCACCACCAGCATTTTAGGAAGAAGGAAAAGTAAGACTCAACCAGAATTGCCTAGAGATCTGCTTTACATATTTAATCTGACAGGAGTATGAAAGGTATAACGTGTTCAAATATTATCCCAAGAGACTAATATTCCCTAAAAACTACTCCTTAGTTTCCTTCATTCTTTGTGATCCCTGCCACAGATGGGCCATTTGACTTGGGTCACCATGATTTTCTGGGCATACTTCCTGGTAACACCTGGCCCAGTATGATCTGTGTGCAGAAGCAGTCAATGAAATACCTTCAGACATCCTAGGTCCACACTGTCTTCCTCTCAGAGCCAGCCACCCTGTTTGGGTATTGGTCCTGACTACTGGGGTGACAAAGAACTGTGTTCTTTGTTTTTGGGATATAGAAAGCTCCCTAGGTTTGGTGGAGGGGTCAAGGTTTCAGCTATGATACAGTGACTCTTTAAAAAGTCAGTTTATTCAAATGAAATTAAAGGAATTGCTTTGCTAGATTAAGGACAGAAATACCCCTGGCCTTTAGATGGAAATGATTAGAGGTCCTCTGGAGTCCAGAAGGAATCTGGGAAAGAATTTGTAAATTTTCTCTTTCACTTGCCATAAGGTACCAGAGTATGAAGTGAATTTGCCATTTTTATGCATTTATTTAACAAACATTTATTAAGTATGTGTTAGAGAATCAACTCCCAGATTATCTTGATAGAGAAAGGAAAAATTCTAGAGAAATAGTAGAAAGTCATTTCCATTGTTTGGAACCACTAGGTGGTGATGTTGCATTATGAATAACACCCATTCTTCACCACTTCAGAGAGGAGGAGGCCAGTGTGTCTACACAACCAAAGACCATTCTTTGTGAGTAAATAAGGAACAGAAACACATTTCATCACTTACATATATGATTCAATTTAAATGCTCAAGGGGACTGGCAGCTCCTTTAGGGAGAGTACTGTGTCTCTTGCTTTGGTCACAACCCCAGGTTGTAACTTGGTAAATGAATGAATCTATCTCTGAACAATGTAAATTGTTATTGAAAGAACCATTTCAAGAGTGTGGCAAATCCTGGAACTCTGAGGCCTAGGATTTTGGGAAGCTGGGAGATACTGATGACCCTGACAGAATATCAGTGTGGCAGAGACTCAGGGAGGCAGTAATTGGAAAGGCAGAATACCTAAAGCAATTGTAAGCATTGATATTGATTTGCAAAATTTTTTGAGACAGGGTCTTTCTGTGTAGCTCAGACTGCTCCAAAATTCACCAGACTCCTGCCTCAGCCTCTGGTGCAATGGGATTACAAGTATGAACCACCATGCCTGGCTACATCCTGTATTTTTTGGTTTTGGTGGTACTGGGGTTTGAACTCTGGGCCTTAGGCTTGCCAGGCCTCTACCACTTGAGCCATTCCACCAATTCATCCTTGTATTTTTAAACAGATGAAATATCGTCAAGAGATTTCAAGGTGTGGGCCTGGTGGTGCACACCTGTAATCCTAGTACTCTGGAAGCTGAGGCAGGAAGATCTCAAGTTTGAGGCCAGTCAGGGATGTATAATGAGACCTTTTCTCAAAAAAAGTCAC